AACGTGGCTGTAAAAACTGTGCTGATCTTCGCCCATTGCCCTGATTTTTTTATTTTTTTTATTTGAAGCCTCAGTAGAGCATCATCTTCGAACTACACATAATAGGAAACTTTTGCAGAAATAGAGGGTAGCTAATTATTATATTAAAAACAAAACAAACAAAAAAAACCTTACATAATTGCATCAATAATGTTGATTTGAAGTTGTGGGTAAATGTCTGCACTCCACAGGCACATGGCTGAAGACTTAGTGGGAGGACTTCAGTGCCAGCTTTGTGTAGAAAGTTTACATTTAACTTGGAGTAATCTGTAAGAGTTCAATACTAAATAGATTATTAGGAATTTTAAAAATGTTTTCACTGATGTAAAAATTGCCTTTTCCTGATGACCTTTTTGCTTAGGCATGCTAGTTGCTGAGGAAAAAAAAAAAGCTGGATTAGCTTTTTTCACTTCATCAGTCTTCATGAAGAGTAGACAAAGCTATTATAACTTGTAGATAACTTACTATATCAAAGATAAGAGCCAGTCTCAAGTTAGTGTAGATTTTACTTAGTTTCTTTAATTTTCATTGCTGTAGAGCGTATCTGTCAGAATGGCTTTAGACGAATCCTTTTCTTTTTAGGCTTTGCTGTAGTGCTGGTGTTAGGAGCTTGTTTCCCAGTTGTGCCAAGGCTAAGTGTGGCCTTGCTAATGTTTCTGTATAGTGCAACTGTTAAAACAGTGGACTCCATGGGAAAATTGCCGGTTGGCAGCATTTAGCTCCGGTATTGTGTTACGTATTGGAGTACAGAGTGGAGATCAACTGATCTTACTTAGCAACTCTTTTCCTTTTAGTATTGCACTAAGCATGTTGAAAAAACAACAAAGACTGCTGGGTGTGTTGTTGTTGTTGTTATTTGTTTTTGGTTTTGTACTTGTTGGAAACATGCTAGTGCTCAGATCTGGCAGTGTTTCATTTTAAAGGGCTGTGGTGACTATTACTGTGCTAAGGAAATTGTATAAAAATGGAGGCCTGAAGCATGTTTTTAAAAAATAGTAGTATTTAAATAAAGGGAGGTATAAGGAAGTGTTTTTGCTTTCAGGTGCTCTGAGCTGGTTGATTTAATAGGTTTAAAATAATTCTTTTCATTAGTGCAGGTGAATGATTGTTGCTATAGCAGTTTCACAGGCCTTTACTGCAATTCAGTGAGCTAAGAAGCCCAAGTTTAGGTCCTATGTCTTTGTGGTTTGCTTCACAGTTAATCACCTAAAGAGCTTTGTAGTTGAGTTGTTTTTTTTTCCTCCTCCTCCTTACAGCTTTGCACATATCCTTATAGTGACACAGCTTTAAGTTTGCATTGTTAAAAGTATGATTGTGTCATTCTGAAGAGAAACAGCCAACTGAAGGTGGATTTTAGCTTCTGGGAATTTTGAGCTTTGACAAAAAAATCTTCCTGAATTTTCAAAACATGCATTTTCTATATATGAATTATTCAGATAAGAATGTGTGTATATATATTTCTGTCTTGCACAAAAGCTAGACAAGTTTCCGGTAAAGAAAATAATTGCTGAAGGTAGTTACTTAAAAAGCTGTAAGGTTTCTACAATCAACATGTTGTTATTTTCTAGTGATTGGAAAGTTGTAATTAGTGGAAGATGTTTTAGTACCACTTACATCTTTTTTTTTCTCTTTTTTTTTCCCCCCCTGCTTTTACAGATTTTGTCCAAACCAAAAAGTTCCTTCTGTCTTTCTTGCTCACCTAATGGGGAATGTCTGCAGAGTGTGTGTGTGTGTGTGTAGGGAGGAGGTTGGGAAAGAGTACCGAACTCAGCTTGGTTTATCACGGTATGTCCTTGTGGTGTGTTATCAAAACATAGATTGATTTGTAAGCTGTGTTTTAAAAGTATGCTACGTCTTCAGCTAGCACAACTAAAAATAATTTGGAGCTGCAGTCTGACATACAGCCTCCAGCTACCTGTCTGCAGAATGATAACAAAATGGTAATTATGAAAGCAGTGAAAAAGAGAATATATTCCATGGGTTTCACTGTTTTAACTGGTGACAAGGCTTCTGAGTATCTAAGATGCTTTGTTATGGTCTGCTAAAGTTACACATCTTGCTTAGGAGGGCAACAGAGAAAATGGGAGAGCTAACAAGTTACAGTGAATTGTTTAGAGCTGGGATTGCAGGTCAGTGATTTGCTGATCTCAGTATTGATGCAGATCTGAAGTACTCCCATATTCCTGGGCTGCAACCTCCTGCTGTGTGGCTACACAGCCGTTTGTGTTTGTCGGATTGCAGCATGTGCTGTCGCAGAAAGTTGACTTGGCATTAAAGAACACAGACAAACACATTCATGTTTGAATTAGGTCAATTTATATTCTGATGTTAGTTTGGTTTACCACTTCTGTCATGAGAAAAGAGGGCTTAGTTGAAAAGGGGACTGGGAAGAGAACAAATCCACTGATGACTTCAAGAAGAAAACCATCACAAGGAGAACAAAAGCAAGGACAAGGAGAAGAAAGATTATGAAGAAAGGAGCAATTAGAAATGAAATAGAAGAAGGGGAAAAATCTAGGGAAAATGAACAAGAAAACATAATGAAGGCAATGAAAGCAAATAGTCTCTCAGAAGCTACATATCTAGCTGAGAGTTACATTTGGTGCATGTATCTGAACATATGTAATTAATAGTGATGGTAAAGTAAATTGTGTTGGGGTTTCTGGTACTGGTAGAGTTATTGTGTCAGGGTTTCTGATACTGGTAGAGTTAAAGAGGGTCTTGGAGGCAGGATGAAGGGTCTAGAATGCAAAGGGAATTGCTATGCTTTACAATTCATGTAGATGCTGTGGAAAGAACACCGACAAAAGGTTTGCAGTGCTTCATATTCTGGATTTGCGTTTTTATTTAGTGCTGTTTTCCTCCTGGTAGGCTCTTTTGCATGTAGGTGTCTCGAACTGAGAGGACTGTGTGCAAGTCTGTCTTGGTGACTTGTTCTTTTACATCAACATTGCCCCCTGAATGCTGTGTGTGTTTGTGGTGTTTACAGATTGCTCCTTCTTAACATGGCAGGGAAATAATCTCTTGTTTGGGAACATCTGCGGTAATATAAAGGCAACAAGGAAAAGGGAGGAGATACAGAAAAGAAAGAAGGGAAGGATGAGCAAAACTTCAGAACTTTTTGAAAATTTTATAAATTGTGGATTAGATTCAGTAAAATGTAAAATACAGTATGCAAATATTTTAAAACAATTTAAAAAACTATAACAAAATATGGGAGAGCATGGATGTGTGTTAATGGACACGAGCAGAATCCTTTGCTCAGTCCTTTTTAAGGAAGCTGTTGGTTTTGGTCTGGCAGCTTGCTACTGAAAGTTAAGCAGCTTGACTTTTAAAGTGAGACTACTTCAAATGACATTTTGAAAGAATTTTCCTGGTTTTTTTATTTTTTTTCCTTGTTTGTTGTTTTGGTATCCTCCTTCCTCTCTATCTGTAAGTCAATTGCTTTGAGGTTTCAGATAGGGAACAGTGAGGTGACAGAAGAACATATTGGCGGCTGGGTTGGTCACATTCATTAGATATTAAAAAGGTAGCAACCATTGCCTTAGATTCCTTGGGCTGCATTGGTAATGGCATTTCATCTTCAATCAAAAGACAATAATGTAGTGAAGCTGATTTTTACCCTGCTTTTACTGAAATTGAATTTTTCCTTGATAATCCCAAGTGTGGTACTCCCACACTGCTTTATATGTAGTAATTCAGTTGTAAAGTGGATGGAGTAGGATTTTCTGTAGGGAGGAAGAATCAAGTTAAAATCTCCCTGGCAGCTTTCCCAAACTGAAGAGCTGACACCTTTCCTATGCATGTTCATAATGCAAGGTGTCCCCTTCAGAGTGTATTATTAATGTCCCTTTATTTTTTTTCTTTGTTTGAATATCTTGCTATACTTAGAATGGTCTGATGTAAATTATAAGCACAATTGTGTTTGGAAATATAAAGCTTGTACATGCTTTTTAGGTTTAGGGCTACCACACTGAGATGCAAGTTTTCTGATGTGTTTGAGTTTGCCAGGGTGTGACCCGCATGTGATACCATCATGAGTGTGGCATAAGAGAAGCCTTGTTATTACAGCAAGTAAATCAGTAGAAGCTAGAATAAATAGTTTTTTGTTTGTTTTCTTTGGTCTTACCCTAGCCCGAAGTTGTCATTACCCTAGCCCGAAGTTGTCAATGTGTTATCAGCCAAATGCTTCTGGCAAACGGTTTACCTGTTGCTTTTGCACGTCTTGCCTGTTTGGCACCCTACAGGTTCTAGTATCTGCCCTCCCTGCTGGCACTGTATCTACTCCTGAGGGATTGCTGGTCATGAACAAAATCCATGTGTTCTACCAAGAACAGTTTGCATTTATAATCTATCTATTTTATAGATATCTAGTGTACAAGTAGCTTGTACGCTAGTAGCTCTGCATAGCTTCTGGGAACACTTCATGTGATCTGCTACTAGCTGCTGTGTTGATCAATGAATGAAGAAAAATTCAAATTATTTTTTGTGCTTAAATTGTCACGAGTTATTGCTTAATTTCATAAGATTTATACAATGTTATTTACTAGTTATCTACTAATTTCCATGCTATTAAAAATACAATATACAAGTAAATTTTTAAAGTTGGTATGTATTAGAAAACTAATAACCTCTGAAGAGTAAGTAATGGTTGTTTGGGGAGTGGGGTTGGGAAGCTGAAATACATTGGTTGGCATTGACACCAGTAACATGAACTAATCAATAGATACCCAGAGCAAGAATGTCACATCGTGTAACATCGCTGAGAATTCTGAAGGACACAATTTCTTTAAACAACTTTTTAAAACTTTGATTGTAAAAAATGAGTCTATTCACTCCTTTCGCCCAGTTGAAACGTGTTAAAGAAAGCTTTCCATTCAAGTTAATACTACAGAGTTGCTGACTAATGATCTCAGGTACTGTATTACTTAATATTCTCCCACCCTTTTTTTCTTTTACAGAAAGATCCAGATTACCTGAAGCTTTGGTTGGATAGTTTTGTTTCTAGCTACGAACAGTTTCTGGATGTGGACTTTGAGAAACTGCCAACTAGGTATGTAGAATTACAGACCTGTTTACCTTTGATATCTGAACCAGACCTGGCTGAGAGCCCAGTCTCTTTCAATATCAATACCGCTTTTAAACAAAAGAATGCTTTTAATTGTTGAGTGGCGCTCCTGTTTTTTGAAGGTCAAGTTGGGCTGGGAATGATGAAACTAGGCAAATACTGGTATTTGTATTAGCAGCAGATGGCATCTCGGTGTTCACTTGTTCCTGCTCACAGAAATATAATCATTCTTCCTTGTGAATTTGTGGAATATGTATTCATTATTAAATGTTACAGGTGAAATAGTATTAGTATTAGTATTTGCTATCTGTACCAGTAGTGTCTGAATAGAAGTAAGGTCTAGGGAGAGAGGTCTGTAATATTATTTCTGGCGTTGCTTCAAGAGTGAGGATGAGGTGAAATGCTCAATTACATTTTTGTTTTTTTATCTGAGAACTTTCTAAAAATTAAAATGCACAAATGGTGGACTTTCAAGTGATCTTTCCATCTGTGAAGACTTGAGTTCAGTGGCAAGAGCATTAGTGACTTCACCTATGATGTTGACTGCAATCATGAAAATATAATCATGAGATGGGTATTGAAGTCTAATTTCAGGTATTCATCTTTACTATTTTGAATTTGCTTTCTGTGCTCTCAGGATTGTGCTTTCAAGACTAACTTTGCAAATGAGGAATAGAAACCTTAAACTGGATTTTTTTGAGATGCTTGCATGAACTAAGGGTTTTAAGAAAAAATAAATGTTAGAGCGCTCAGAAATCATGGGAACCGGTGTCAGTTCTATGGCTGCTATCGCTACCCATGAGTGAATACAAAGAATGCCTCTCTCTGCATGATGGCTGCAGTCCAAGCCCTGTTGAAATCAATGGAAATTCTCTAATGGACTTTGGATCAGATCCTGTTTGAAGTGTAAGTGATAGCCTCTCCTGTTACAAGGAAATGAAGAATGCTGCAACTGGATCTCACTGGATGAAAACTGGGCATCTAATCTATTTCTAAGAAATTTTTCTTCTTCATGCTTATATTAATTCAACCACTAAGCAAAAGCTACAAATTCTGTACTCTTTCAGAAGATATGTTATCTTTGCAGTGAGATATCAAAAATACATCATGTGTTTAGTTCAGGAAAAAGGTTTTTCCTTTAACACAAGTTATCTTTTAACATACTACTTAATATTGAAATGTGATCAATGGAAGAGAAGGGTATTTTGGTACTCTCCTCTTTTTTTTTGTGCTCATGTTTTGTTGTTGTTTTTTACAACAACTTAGTAAAATTTTAAAAAGAAACATGAAGCTTACCTGTGCAGAATAATAGCAGCATCTTCATTGTGCTAAGTAATGGTTTTGTGAGCATAAAATCCCGTATTTTTCTGAGGTTAATGACAGGATTAGTGGTTTAGCCTGAAAGAATAGTTTTGTGTAGATCTAGTCATTTGTACAACAGATGTAGAGAAAATGTATCAAAACAAAGTAGGAATGAAGGCAAGTTATTCTTGTGCTTTGATGGATGGATTTTAAAAAATTTAAAATTAAGTAAAAATTAACAAAAAAAAATAAAAAAAACAGTGACTGACGTGACCCTGCTTTTTTATTATGTAAGTTTTGGTGTGCTTTCCAGCTAAGTGCCTGAAAGACCTTGTGTATTGAAGGGCAAAAGCCAGGAAATGATGAGCAACTGTGTTAGGACAAGGAAGCTTGTACAAATTGCTGGACAAAATTAACCTTTAGGAAGACTGCCATGGAGTTTCATGTCAATGTAAAACATGTTTTGTTTTTTGTTCAAGAAAACAACACTTAAGAAATGTAATAAAAATGTTAGTTTTTTTTCTGAAAGCAGTACTCTTAAGTAGGAGTGTCACTTGCTGATTTAACTGATAAGAGTGTTTCTTCTATAAATTACAATATATTATTTCTTGAAATCTGTTTTGGAAATTGGAAAAATGCACATAATAGAGAACTTGGAAATCTCTAGACTTGGCGGATGAGTGTATCCATTGGTATGATTTGGCTGTAATAATAAGTAGAGTTTATACAGTCATACAGCTCAGTTATACAAAAAGTTATACAAATTCAGTTCTACCTACATCTTTGTGCATCTTCCCTATATTTTTAAGTGAAATGCCTATCAATGGTGTCTACAGTGACTTTTTTACTGGGAAAATGAGGATATTGCACAAGAAAATAACTGCTGGCAACTTTGAACATTGAGCACAAAGCATTAATGCACATCTCTTCCTAAAAACAAAAAAAACAACAACCAAAATAACAAACCAGCCATCTCATCAGTATTTACACTGGATAGGATAAAATGTTTACCAGCTGGTGGGAGGTTTTTTTCCCCATCACTGAAGGGAATAAATTGTCATTTGGTTTAATGCTTTCAGAAACAACAAAGATCTCCAGAGTGTTGTCATGCTCTTTTTCTGGCTTTGGTTTGCATGCTGTCACACAAAAGAGCTTAAAGGAAACTCATGCAAAGTACCACAGACACCATACTTAGTTAACATATGGACTCCAAACCCACATTAAAAAAGATGCAGGAATCATGAGAGTAAAGCTGATTACACGGTTACTAGAAACTGGCTGCTGGAAAGTGACGCCTGCTTTTCTGCAGCCTTTGTTCCAAAGCGCTTGCTCACTGCTTTGGTGGAGGAGCGGCTGAGTCCCACTGTGCGGATTTGGGCTGTAATTGGGTAAATACACTGTAAAGATGAATTTAAGTTCCTTTCAAACACCTGGGATGAGAATTTATGCTGCTGTATAACCATTATACTGTGGTGCAAGTAGATGGTAAATATGAGAACCCAAATGCATCAAGAACTCAGATTTTTGAGGTAGTCTTATGTGATTACTAGTACCCTATCAGTTAAGGTATGATTTTTTTGTTTGTTTGTTTTTTTTTGTTTTTTTTCCCTTTTGAATAGCTAGTTTATACAACAAGTCTTGTCAGGGAAAAAAAAAAAACGCAGATGTTAGATACATACATCTAACTTTTAAATTTGTATGGTAATACCATGGTGACTTGCTCTGGGCTGGAAAGAAGTTCAATTATTTAAGCTCTGCAAATATATTCAGTCTGAGAAATCCCAGAAGATGAGCATTTCTTGAGCTGGTCTCACACAAAGCAGTTAAATCTTAGGGGTTGGTTGATGGCACAGACGTGTGCTGCCTGTGGAGGGAACGATCTGTGGTACACAAGGCATGGAGGGAGTGCCATTTGCTTACCTATGAAGCATTTTGTGATCGTACTGAAAAAGACTCGTTGGCCATTTTAGCAAAATTACTTCTGATGTAGGACTTCAGTTGTCAAAATTATGTTCTTAATACAGAGGTGGTGAATTAGCAGCTTATTATGAGCAATACTTGTGGTCCCAGAGGGTATGGATCTGCTGGCATCTTGAGGGATGAAGCTGCTATCACAGCAGTTAACATTTGTTTGTCTTTTTTTGGCAGCTGTGTAGTGAAAAAAGCAGTTGCTCGCAGTTTTGTCAGCTAGAGCCTAGGTCCTACGAAAATTTCTGTCAAAACTTTTCAGATCCCTTGAGCAAGATCTGAAAAGCAAATCACATAACTGCAGAAGCAAGAGAAAGAACAGTACTAGGTCCTCTGTATCCATGTAGGGGAATGTTTCTTTTCTGGGACCTGGGAACTTGCTGTCACTTGTGCCTGTGGAGTTGCTTTACTAAGTGGTCTCTCTTTCATGTAAGCTTCCTTTTCAACTTCCTTTTCAGTGTAGTTGATACATTGCTCCTCCTTTTCCTCAATTTATTGGTATCACGTTGTCACTCACTGCATTTCCCACTGCCTTTTGAAGCTTTTTCTTACACAAATATGTACATGCATGTCATAACGAGTTCCCAAGTTAGCAGTGTTTCTTGTGTGATTTTTTTAGGTAATTTTTCCCTGGGCTTGGCTGTATTAAAAGCTTCTGTAAGCTGTAAGGCTCTAGCTTGTCTTCCTCTTCCTGTGTGGAGTTTGTAGCGAACGTTTCAGGGTAAGTGGCTGATGCCACAGGCAAGCTCTGCCATGTGAAGCAGTGGACGTACAGCTTGCTGACAGACAGCTGCTCTTTAAGATGAGCCAAAAGGAGCTTCAATAAACAGTCTTCATCCCAGAGAATGCTTTAACACACCTATAAATTACTACAGTGTTGCTGAAATCACTGTATGGCTATTCTAGAAGCACTGGCTTAGCTACTGGTTTTATTTTAGAGTTATTTTCCTTCTTTTGGTTCTCACTGGTGTATTTCTACAAATGTTTAACAAAACAATGAGTGAGAGTACCTAATGTCCTCCAGGGCCCTGTCTGGCCTTGATGGAGTTGTTGAATTTAAGACCAACACAAGAGTCTTGTTTTTGGCACCTAAAAATAGTTAGCTATAAAACAAGATTAAAAAAAAAATAATAATAAAGTATGTGTGTGGTGGGGGGAGCTATTTGCTGAGTTAAGGACACACAAAGTAGTATGGATGGGTCAGGCTTTCATGCAAAATCCGTGTACCAGCAGTCAGATGAGTTGCTGGGAGCTCTCCCTCTTGCACATTCAGATCCTGATTTTCAAATCTTCTTTCATTTAATTTTACTGTGAACTGTTGTGTTGTTTTTTTTTTTCTGCATTAAATCTAAAAATCTATTTTCTCTGTATTAAACCTCATTTTTTCCTAGTTTGGGTAGTTTGTGTAAGAAATACATTAAGTTTCTTGTGCATTATTGCCAACTGGGCTTCTATAACTACTCAGAAATTGGCATTTAACTTACTTTAGTCTTAAGTACAAGGTTGAAAATGTTCCCTTGTGTTTAGTTTCATGTTTTATTTCACTGTGGCTTTGTTTAGGAATTTTTGCAGGCCACCTGTTTACCTACTGAAGATCATAGATTTCTCTGTGGTGATTAAAGCAGATCAACTTGTGTAAGAGAATTTAGAAATCCACGTAAAGTATTCTTATCTTTTTTTTTTTTTTTTTTTTTTTTAATTTTTATATGCAGTTCTTTGAGGAAGAGAAAGCTCAAGCTGCCTTATTGGCACCAGACATTTCCTTGTACTTCATAGGAAGTGCTTATGAACAATCAGTTGCCACAATTCAGTAACCTTTCTTATACAGGTTTATTGGTACTCTACATGAGCTCGCTGAAATAGATGTTAATGTGTCGATCCCATGATTAAGAGTTCTGTGTGTTTGTTTTTTTATTTTTAGGGTGGATGATGTTCCTCCAGGAATATCACTGCTTCCTGACAATATTCTTCAGGTCCTTAGGCTCCAGCTGCTGCAGTGTGTCCAGAAAATGTCAGATGGACTAGAAGAGCAGCAGCAGGCTCTGTCACTTCTGCTTGTGAAATTCTTTATCATCCTTTGCAGGTATTTGTTTTGGTTGCTACCTCAACAAGGATATTGTTTTGTTTAAGTATTCTAGATGCAGCCTATAGATTCTAATGACGTATACAATGTGGTTTGACACTTTCTAATAGAAACAAAGTGCTGCTTTTCACAATCTTCAAACTAAAGAAAGAGGGAGCAACACAATCAGTGACGTTTGCCATGAAAAATGGAGTAGAAGGGGCTTAGACAGTAAATTCTTTGTAATTATGTAAGATATATTTATGTGAATTGAAAGCATGGTGTACCTGGTATAAGAAATACTTGTTAAAGAAAAGGCACACTTTAGCTAGTGTTGGATATGAAAGAACTCGAAAGAGGATTGTACAGGAAGAACTGCTTCACATTCTCAACATGCTTATAATTCCATAAACAGCTTAGGGATCTGACTTATTCTATTAATGCAATTGGCTTCCTTCTGAAACTTATGCTTTATTTTGTAATACTGTTCAAGCAGGTAAATGCTTCTGGTTTTAGGGATGTATTTCTCCCCATTTCTTCAAATTTTTATTGCAAACTGCATTGAAAGAGGAAGAGGATAAAGTATATAATAGGGATTCTTCTGTTCTGAGAGGTACTTAAGCTTTTTTGAGTCCTTTGGTCTTCCTTATCCCTAAAACAGTACAAAGAGGTGTAGGGCAGTGTTTAAGTATCCTAGAATATTAAATATAAGTTGAGTAGATGGTGGTTGCTGTGTTTATGAATTACCAGCTGTTTTAAGTCTAAATTGCTGAAAAGTTCTCCTTACATCATCACTTCAGTATTTCATCTTTGTGACGTTCCTAAAACTGAGAAATAATGCCTCTTTGTTGCTGTTGATTTATTTGGTGTTCTGAATGCCTCTTTGTTGCTGTTGAATTTCGTGTTCTAAAATAATCTTAGATGTTTCTTTTCCTTGGGAGAATTTCAAGTGCATGACAGCTTCTAGGTAATATATTTGCTTAAACTTTTAGACAGTGTACATGACTGCAGTATCAGTCTCCTTGTAAAGTTCTAGTAATGTGGAAGAAATTGAATTTATTGTCTCTGTTATCAGATACCATTTATAAGCTTTCTATTTAAAGTGTCCTGGGAATCTGCTTAACCTCTGAAACCCCAAATTCCAGATAGAGCTGGCCTACAGCTGGGAGACTGAGGCCTTTCTTTTCCTTCCTGTTAGAAGAAAGCTTGTGTACTATGTTACTGTGACAGAAATAAACATTTGAGTACATGCAGTCTTTTGGGGAGTAATTTTGAAATGCTGATATAATTTTCTATGATTATAGATTGACTACTAAAACAAACATTGTTTGAACTAGCCTCAGATAGATAGTACACTGTGTACATTTGTGGTTTCTGTGTTGCCTTCATAGAAATTTGGCTAATGTGGAAGAGATTGGAATGTGTTCGTACATTAACCACGTTATCACCATGACTACATTATACATTCAACAGGTATGTGTTTACTAATTGTCTGTTATTTTCCCCATCCGATACTTCCTGCTCTGGCTTATGTGATCCCCTCTAAGTAAGAAAGTGTTTGTGGGGGAGAACATGAGGGTTCAGAGCTTCTGGAGGAGTACAGGAATTAATTTTAATTAATTTTTAGTTATTAGAAATCGTCTGACAACAGCTTTTTTTTTTTTTTTTTTTTTTTTTTTTACCCCCCTTCTGCAGTTAAAAAGCAAAACAAAAGAGAAAGAAATGGCAGATCAGACCCCAATAGAAGAATTTGTGAGACATGCACTGGCTTTTTGTGAAAGTCTCTACGATCCATATCGAAACTGGAGGCAGCGAGTTGCAGGGTAAGTGGGGATCAGGACTGGATCATAAACTGTGTTTTATAACTGCAGATAAATTATATATATTAGGTTTCTAACAGAACTACTGCTGCCTTATGTCAAACTACAATAAAATGTAGTTGTGTGCACAGCTGTTGTGCTGTTGCATTTTACAGCTGTTTGAGTTGATAGTCATAAGCATTTGATTTGATGCTGTGTTAGTTTTTTTCAAAGACACTTGAGAATAGAGTTAATGATTCTTTTTTTAAATTTAATTTTTTTTACCAAATTAAGTGTTGAGCAGGCGCTCTTGAAAATGAACTTCAGTGCCACCAGAGTTGTCAGTACTGGTATATCCTGTTCTGTTCAGTGGTAAAACTGAGCTCTGAGTCGTTTTGAAAAGTGGGTTGGAGAGCCAGGAAATGGGCTTTCTGAGATAAATTTCTGTCATTTTAGGCTCAGGCCCTGCTCTTAGAAGCTGCTAGTGATTCACTTTCTGCTGTAACTGGCTCTTCAGTGCCTAGCTATTAAAAATTCCTATGAGATTTTTCAAGTACAATTCTCCCTTATTACTACCAAATTTGTTACAATAATGTTAAACGTATGTGGTCTTCCACAGTATAGTCAACAAGTTTTTCTGCTGTGTGTACAAGTCCTGGAGTTGTTGATTGCTCCTTGCTGCTATCATTCAGAGCTGCTCTTCCTTTAGTTCCTTAGTTTTATTTCTATCAGGAAACTTTTGATATGCATACTAAATATTGGACTTATTCGTGGAAATAACTAAAGGCATAGAAAGAACACATCTCATCTTACCTTGTCTTGTAAAATTTAGGGTCCCTTTTCACAGTTTATATCCTGTAGAACCGGGCTGCATTTGTGCAACAAGTCGCTTCTGATTCCACACATACAGAGTGGAAGTCACACAGAGTGATGTACCCTGGTTGCTGGGGTTTCTTTGTAGCTGGCAACCTGTAGTATGTTATAACACTGCATGGACTGCAGGTTTTAGGAGACTGTCTTTCACGGTAGAATCATGATCTCAGAGGTTTTTTCCAACCTGAATGATTCTATGACTAACTAGTCCAACGTTTAATCTAGTATTATTTAGTACTAGGTTAGATAAAACAAGCAATACTAAAGCTAGTAATACTGTCTTTTTTTTCCATAACAGCTTGAATCGCTGTTCATGACGTAAACAGAATATTACAATGAATCAATATAACCACATTGTAGAAAATGTTATATTTTCTGAAACTGGATGTGATTTAGGTACATTTCAAAGACTACATGTATTTTCTGACAGTTTAGAGTTACTTTTTTTTGTTTTTTAAATGAGGTTATAAATCTCACGTTTTGTTTTGAGTTTGTAACTGACCAACATGAAGCTCTTTCCATTGCTTTTTCCTTTCAAAAATTTGCTCATTTCTCTAAACTATTGGAACAAGGAAGCCAGAGGGAAAGGGGCAGGTGAAAGCAGTTGTATTAGAGCAAAATAAATTTCTGAAGATCACAGTATAAATATGTTGCATCTTTGAAAATAAGTTTGTAAGTGTATTGGTAGAATTAACTCCCATTATTTTGTTCTCCCTACCTCTCATAATGAACTCATAATAATGTTTTGTCCCTATTTCAAATTGCATGGTTAAGAACTTTGGCAGTCCAGCTGATGACTTAGTTACAATAAGCACAGACTAAATAGGACTTGATGTTTTTTTGTTTGTTTTCAACCAAACCATATGGTAAAACAATACATTTTTCAAAAAAGTGGAACAGTAAGTAAACTCATGGTTAGCTGTGATTCGTTTTTTTCAGGGTGAAATACTTCTTTCTGTTTTTTGGACCTGCAGGCAAAACTTTTGATTTTTGCAGGATTCTCTATGATGAAGTCATGAAGTAATAAATTATAAACAAAGTGTCGTATCTTTTTAAATGCAATTTCAGACGTATCCTAAGTACAGTTGAAAAGAGCAGACAGAAGTATAAACCGGCTTCTCTCACGGTTGAGTTTGTCCCTTTCTTTTATCGTAAGTATTATCAGCAGCATGTTTGAAAACGTTAATCTTTGGAGGAGTGAAGTTAATAATTCTAAGTTCTATTCCCCAAAGAATGTTTGATAAATCTTACTTGCATCTTACTTGCTTTCTGAGGCTGAATGAATTGAGATGCTTTTTCTTCCTTTTTGCTCTGGGCAGCACCATCTTGCCATCCTTACTTGCCTTTTATTTATTTATTTATTTATTTATTTATTTATTCATTTATCAGGCTTCTTTCAGTGCCTACTGTGGTTTAATAGGGTTGGCTCTGTGAATTCTCAACTTTTCCATATATTTAAATTGTTGAATATGTGCTTAGGACATTACTACCATGGTAGTACTAAAGACTTTTTCTGGTCTACTCAAGATCATGATTTTCCACATTCTACTAATGATTTTAATTTGTCTCAAGCTCCCCAAAAGATTCAGAGGCTATAAAGTCAAGGAAGTAGTGGCCTTTGTTTCCTTTCAAGACCAGGTTGTATAAAGAACTGTGCAATTTTCTTTTAAAAGAAGACTTATGTATAGAAATGTTTCTTACTGGTAACTTGTAGTTGTCTTAAAAGTTACATTATTATTTTAATGAATATGGAATTTTTACACTTTCTGTTTTTTGTTTAGAATCTCCGTTTTTAGAAACCCAAGTCATTAACGTTTTTATCTTGGAAGTTACTAATGTTTTACAACGGGTAATTCCGAATAAGAGTCCTTCCTGGTTTCCGTTGCAGCTACTATGAGTGTTGTGTTAGTGTATACTCACTGCTTTGCATATTAGCTTGTCCTCAATAATAAATAGTAAATAATAGTAAATAGCCCTCAAAAAAGGGCTTATTTTCCATTTTGGTACAGTTGCTGTACCTCTATACGTCTGTCAGGCTTCCTGAAACATGTTTTATGTGAGTTGAAGGTTTGAGTTGCTGATAAATGTAATGTCATGTTCTTCTGATAATGCTGAAAGGGGTGCATTTGTGTCTGTCATTTACGTGGAAAAAGAGTGGAGATTACATAGTTGAAATTTTGTATTAAGTTTGCATGGTGACAAGGAGCAGGGGAGCTTATTTTTTATTATTCCTGTGTTTTTGAGAGGCAGGGGGGAACAAGAACTTTGTATAATTTATGTGACCAAAATAAGGAAGCCTTGTACTTTTTATTTATTCCAATCAGAATGCTTTCAAGAAAGTGAACATCTCAAGGAAAGCCTGAAATGTTGCCTGCTACATCTCTTTGGAGCTATTGTGGCTGGTGGTCAGGTAAGGATGTTCTAAATTTTTTTCAGCTGCTGAAGTCTTCAACCTCCTTTTCATTGTTAAAGGCTTATACATACCCCCATAATCAAGAAAAATTTGCTTAATATGAATTAGTTGTTAATCTTGTGAAATGTGAGGCCATTTTGTACAATAGCATCTAAAAGATAAAAGATTGGTTCTTTTTTCAAATAGCAGTTGCTATCTGTAACTGCAGGTTCATAAGAACTTACTATAATATTTTTGCATCATAAGAATTATATTCCTTTGCAGGTAGAAACTTAGTTTAGTTATAAAGATGTAAATTTTGTATCATCACGTGGAATTATTTCCTTGCTTATTTCCTTGCATGTTTCAGTAGGAGGTGCAGGGAGTTTGTGAAAACACAGATCTAAAATGAAGTTTCAAATTAAGGTTTATTTAATACTAGGAGGTTATCAAGGTTACTTCATAAGAATTTTGACATCTGTTTAAATAATGTTTCCTTTTCCCTATAAGCATTCTATTTTGCGAAAGAAGGCCTAGTTAAGTGGACAAGATGGGTCACATTTTATCTGTAGCCATCAATGTAATTCAAGCAGAATGTTTCATATTCACTTAACAATTACAGTGCATAAATTAGACTGGACACAATATCACATGTTGCATGATTCAGGTATTTTCAAACCAGCAGTTTCCATTTGAGTTGTTTTCATCCTTAATTTTTTTCCCCATGGGTTTCAGAGGAATGCTCTTCAAGCAGTATCTCCTGCTACCATGGAAGTTTTGATGCGTGTTCTAGCAGACTGTGACAACTGGGATGACGGGAGTCCTGAGGAAGTGAGCAGAAAGGCAGAGCTTACTCTGAAGTGCCTGACAGAAGTTGTCCATATCCTTCTTACCAGCAGTTCTGACCAGCGGCAAGTGGAGACCAGTACAATATTGGAGAACTATTTTAAGCTGCTTAATTCAGACCATTCAGCTTTACCTAATTCAAGGCGATGTAGGCAGTGGGAGAGCAGGTTCATAGCTCTTCAGATCCAAATGCTGAGTGAGTACCCAATTGTGCAGTTCCTTTAAATATCTCTTAATAACTCAGAAACAAGTAATGATTCAATCATAATACTAATATAGCCAGATGCTTTACAAATAAGTGTTTCCCTTGCTATGCAATTGAAAATTTTCAAACAATTCTTCTCGTTGATGTTACTTTAGACATGCTCTTTCACAATCATATTTAACCAAAGTGTCAAGGTCCATGGACTGCCAGTTTCTGTTGAAAATTTTTTTGCTAGGCAACAGCTGATGGTCTTCATAACTGCAGAGTAAGGAGGGTCTGTAATAAAATACCCATATGATGTCCATTTTGTGATGGTTTGCTTTTCAAATGGCATTACTATAAACACTGATCAAAGATGATGGTCTTAAACAGTTGGTGCTAGGTCATTGGAGGATTAAAAAGATAAGCATTCAGGATTTGTGTTTTTTTTCCTCCACTTTGTTGTTCAGAGTGGCAAATACAAATATAGGTATTTCCTTCCCCAAAACTTCCAAGAAAACTGGAGTAGTATTAAGGTGACAAATACTTACAATGAAAAGCTGCTGTAGAATACAGAGAAACTGCTTGATGAGGAAGCTAATATTTCTGTGCTTTAAAAAAAAGACATGATGGTTAGGTACTTAAAAATGGCAGTCTTTAAACAGAGCCCTAAAACAATCCAAGATATTATATAGATCAATTTTTTCCAGATATGCTAGGTTATGTGATTTTTACAGTGTCAAAAAGTGTAGCTTTAGGTCTACTGCTCTGTGCTTAAAATGTACATAATTTTTGATCATAGAATATATGGTGTATAGTTTGTTGTAAAATTTTTTCACATTTATTATGTACCGTTTCTGATTGTGTTCCAAAGGTAACAGATTAAAAAAAAAAAAAGCTTAATGGATTTGGGAAGTATCTTGTTTTTGATGGCAGTTCTGTTTTAATTTTGTAGATACCATCACAGCCATGTTAGACTGCACAGATAGGCCTGTTCTGCAGGCAATTTTCCTTAACAGTAACTGCTTTGAGCATCTCATTCGACTGTTGCAGAACTGCAAGGTAAGTTTTCTCTTATCTGTGCTTTTTAACAAAACCAGTTTTGCAACGTTGCAGTTATATTAATTCCATTTATATATTCCTTCTAAATAAGTCATGTTCTTTTTAGTGTCTACATGCTGAAACTAAAACTTTAGTTTGGTTAGAGCCATAAATAGTGTGAAAGATCTGAAAGATCTAAGTAGGTCTAATTGTGTATTTTTTGCTAATGAAGTATATTTCTTGTCTGTATTATAATTAAAAATACTCATTTTGAGTTCTGAGCAAAAAGACCTTTATAGGCACTGCTCAAGCTGTTACAAATGTTCTTAGATTGTTCTTCTCCTACGTAGGGTCTAGTGTTTACAGTAACGCTTATTAATCTTGATTCCAGAATTTGCAAGCCAGCGTCTTCCACTGATTCCTCTGTAGATTTAATTTTCGTCTTCATATTCAGCAATATATGAAAAAATTATTTGGATTATGATTTAACTGTACTCGTAATCAGTGGTGGAGTGCTAATTTACTTGAAATGTTTTGAACAGTGTTTGTGTTTTTTGTTTGTTTTTCATGTGTTCTGAAAATAGTTCACCTTTCCATTCTCTTACTGTGTTTGGGCATCTGTGCCTATTTTTATACTGACCTTGTACTCTGTAAGAAACTTCTTTCCTAGTTTCTTCTTAAATCATCAAGCAGTGAGACAACTACCTGTTCATGGAGACTCTGTCTTTGTTCCTGCTCTTATGTAAACAAGTGGGATTTATAATTTAGGAAAGCAGGAATGCTTACTTTTTTTTTGATTGTTCCTTTCATTTCCACTCTGCTTGTATGTCTGTCGTAAGATACGCGTTTTGGAGTTTTTGTCTTGTGATAGTCTTACATGCTACTGTGATGAATTGGCTATCAATGCTGCCAGGTTACCACATAGTATTTTTATTAACTTTTTTTTTTTTAGTGAAAATATCCCCAAGGATGATAAATGGGAAGGGGTGTGGATCTGGGAAAGATGTTGTGTTTTCCAGTACATCTTTACACTTTTTGAACATTAAATGGCAAAGATGAATTTAGTATTGGAATTAGGATTTCCCCTTGTTACTGGAGGAAGAAGACCCTATTTCTAGATTTTAATTTTTTTCTTCCCTGTGCATGAAGATCTTGGTACTGGATTCATTAGCAAGCTGTGTAAAACACAGTTCTGCAGCTCTGTGTCAGGTAGCAGGAGAGCTCAGACACAAATATGAAACTTGGGAATGTATTGGATCTTCAGCAGATTTGAAGAGAGAGAAACTTTCGTGGAGAGAAAGGAGGGTCAAAGAAAATCCATACCACTGTTTCTATTACTATAGCTATCTCAATTTGAGGTATTCAAGCCCATACTTTAAAATCATTTGCTCTTCATCAGTCTTCTAAAACTTAAATCTTTTTTTTCCCCACATTTGCTGGTTTTAAGCCTTATGGACAAATTGTCTTCCCTGAACTATGCTGTAGGATTAGAGATCACCACAAGAGTTTCTTAAAACTACTCAGTGAAGTTTTGGTGATCTGAATGTCCTTTAGTCTGTGATATCCAAGAAGAGGGACTGTATTTTAAGAGGTGTCAGAAGGGGCTCATTATATGCTAAGACATGTAACTAGTTGCTCGTAAATCCTGAATCTATTCTCTTTGATTAAATTCTCTTGGAGATCAGACTTTGAGCAAAGCACAATTACCTCTAGCAGAATGCCTGGTTGAAAATGTGTGACTATTGTCTGAACAGCTTTTACACAGAATACTTCTGACATGTACTGTCAGAATTTAAGTAACCCATCTGAAAAAATTGCCTTTTTTTTGCACGTCTGCATTTCCTTTTGTTTAATGTTCTTATTTGCACTTGTTAATGCTATAACCCTCTGAATGTATTGTTGTAATTCTGAAGTATTAAGTGCTCTTGACTGTCATGTACTTTTTAAACTGACTTGTATTTCTATGTGCTTTCGTGCCTAAGTAAGTCAAAGTAGTATCTTGAGTGTCCTCCCTTTTTTTTTTTACCCTTATTTATGGAAGCTGATTTCCTAGGTTGCTCCTCGAAGGAGAGAATGCCTAATAGGCAATGGAAGGAAATGTATGAGGAAAAAATGGGGAATGCTCAGTTTTCACCCACTGAAGGAAAGATTTTTTTTTTGTGGTTGTTATTGGTTTTGTTTGTTTTGTTTTTAAAAGGATTTTTAAATCATTTTGATCATGGAATATTTAACAAGTCTCTTTAGAATGTAAAAACAGAAGAAAAATTTTAGTCTTGATTAGATTATGACTGAAATTTGCACACAAAGTGACTGCAATGGATTATGAAGATACTTGAGTGAGTTTCAAACTTCTGAATTCAGGTGGAGAGGGGAGGAATCTAGCTGCTATACACAGAGCAGCTTATGCTGAAAATGCATGATAGGTATATGTTTTATTTACAACCTGTCAAATTCTTAAAATAAAAGAAGATATTTTACCCTTCTTCCTGTCCTGAAGGCTTATGTGCCCCAGAAATTCTACTGCTGTTACTGTTAGACAGTTTAAATATTTTGTCTAGATATCTTCAGCCTTCACATAGGATGAGACATGTGGGCAACAGTGAGGCACCTGTATCCATTTCTTTGCCAATGTTCCATTTTTGTCTTTATTTCTTAAAAGTAAATTTTCATCATGTTGCATTTAGTAAATGAAATCAGTTGCTAAGCTGTTGACCACTTTTAACTTCTAGATAGGTCTGTTTCCTTGTCTTAGTGATTACATACTGACATCTAATTCAGGGGAAAAAAAGTGCAATAAGTGTCCAGCAAAAATACAGAGTAATCTTCAGTGTTCTAAGAATTAACAGAAGATTAATGTTAATGGAGGATTGCATCTCACCAGTGTGAGAACTCACTTGTATGTTAAACACAAATCTAGGGCAGCCTCCACAGGTTTGGCTGGAGGTAACTGTTTAATGCAATTATTTCCATTATTCTTGTCTCTGTTTCTAACAGCTGTTTTTAAATGCTAACAATAAAGTGGCAGACAAGAGTGAAAAAGACCTTGCCAACAAATTACTGACAGAAATGAATGAGGACCAGGTACCTACCTAATCTGTATTTTGCTTCAGTTGAGGTTGAGACACAACGGCAGGAAAATTGGTTCCTGTGCTTCACCTTAATGATCCTCCTTAAGCCTTTTACAGCAATCCTGATGTTGCTGCAGCCATCAGTATTTTCTATCTGTGGAAAGTAATTTTCCTGATTGAATTCAACTTCAGTTTTATTTATCTGCTTCACATTGCAGATATTTCAATAAATTGAGCATCAGTTATGCATTTTTAAAAGGTGAAGTACATGAATGGAATCTAAATTCTATCAAGCTGGTGATTTTTTTCCTTCCCTTTCCTCTTTTTTGCTTCTTTGTCTCAGCACTGTGGTGTTTTGGATTCTGGGGCCTTGTTTGTGAATCTCAGTGGTTGTATTTGATGTCCTGATTCTGTGCTTGTCATCAAGAACAGATGTTCACAAAACAATGGACAGGCTGAATCAGGGAGGTAGGAATAGCCTGTTGCTTTAATTTTCCCATAATGTTGTGGAAAGTACCAGATGGAAATTGTTGTTATATTAATTTTGTAGTAGAATAATTTACTCTGATGAAATGTGTAAAGATGCGAAGTACAAAGTGTGGTAATCTACAAATTGTGATTCTAACTAATAGGTTTGGCTTTCTTAGAAACTCAGTGCGAGACTAACTGCATGTAAATGTTTCTTCACATCTAATGGTCTTCTGATTCTTGACACTTCATTTTCAAAATATTTATGATATGCAGTTTAATATTTCAGGGATAATGAAACTGAGTATGTTTGCACAGTTTTGCTCTAGGTTTATTACTGATGGACATGAGATGGTGCTCTGATTTTTTTTGACCTTAAAACCAGCATAGAGATACCACCATAAACAAAAATTAGAGGGAAAAACTAACAGCAAAAAAAGATAACTTGAAATGGGAAAAGGAGATGTTAAGCAATGAGATAAGGTTATGGATGAGGACGCCACCTTACTGTGCTGGTGTGACTAATTTCTTATAATTTGTGTGTGGGTTGCATTGGTATATAGGGACTTAGATGTTAAATAAAACACTTTGTATGAAATGCACATGCCTGATGGATTGTCAAGCAGCACACACACACCTTACAAGAAACTTCTTAATTTGTTTTCCTCCCTCCCTCTTGAGGTTGTCCATTAGCTGCATGAGGAGAACCTGTTTGTCCATCAGAATATTTCAAGTGCGATGAGTTTTGTGAATGCTTCTCTCTTCTTCCTGAAGTATTGTCTATTGTTAATGCAATCTTTCTTGTAGGCTGTGGGCGTTACGAAATCTTTATTGGTGGGGAGATGATTTTTGGAGCATGTTAGTAAACTCTTGGTTTTCATCCTGGCCGAAGGGCATGGTATAGATTTTGGAATAGAATGGTCTTTGCACATTTGTATGTAACTTCTATACCTGCTACTTTCAGGTGTTTCAGGGACACCTAGACTGCTTGGCAGTATCAACCATTCAAGCCCTCACAGCAGTAATGCTCAAGTCTCCAGCTGCTAAGGTAACGGTACATATGCAGTGGTCTACTTGCAATAGACCTCCTGATGTTGTCTCCAGTTAGCATTTTTACTGAAAAATTCTTGATAAGGAATCTTGCTAATTAAGATGAGCAACTTGTGTCTGCTAATTTCTGCCAGATAGGAGCAGTTGATTGGCATCCCTTATCTTTTTATTTGTTTCCAATGTCTGAATTCTGAGATATTTTGATATCAAAACTGGAAGAATGGAGCACTAATGGTATTTGGAGCTGTTGTAAAGGGAGTACATCGTTACTTGTCCCATGAATATCTGGGATAGAATTAATGAGTATTTGCAGAGTATAGCTTCAGGCGGGAGTATGTATTGTAGCTTTATTGTGTCTTTAATCCAGGACCATACTGCTGTCTAAATGGTGGTCTTACCATTACCCTGCCTTTCCTTCATAGTTCATTGTTGTTTGATAAATAGATAGGCAGTGGTTAGTTTGTGAATCTGACTAGAAGCTGAGGCTGCAGAGAAGTAGAGTTATTCTTAGATTGCTTAGTCTGTTAGATTCACCCTGTGGCTGAATGATTCCTGGCACAGGGAAAGGGGTATGACTGCACAGTGCAGGCCAACATAAGACTGGAAATCACCTGATTTGGTTGCTACTTTCAGTACAGTCTGAGTGAGAAATGATAAGGTAGTAAATTAGGCTCCTCCAAAGCATAACTCAGAGTACTCGTATCTCGCCCGGTAAAAGTTGTATGGTAGGGTTGGGAAGTCGTTGTAATTCATAAAGGTCAGTAAACTTTTTACCTGTGCTTCCACTGCAACATACATATCTTTGCATATTTGCTTAAGCAATTGTATCATTTCTGCTGGTACATTCATCCATCTATTTTAATTTCAGTACAGGATACAGTGGGGAGAAGAATATGCATTTTGTATGGGTGTTTTCTTTGTACTAAGTTAAAAATAAATAAATAAAAATACTACATTCTGGATTTTGCGGCATGCAAAACAAATTATTTTGTATCTAATAACTTATATCTTATAACAAATTATTTTGTATCTAATATTTTGTTAAATTAAACTTGTTGCAGTAGAAGAAAAATTTGTGTCCCTTTTATTTGTTATTGAGACTTGGATTTTTATCCTCAGGAGGTCTTCAAGGAGAGAATTGGTTATGCGCATATATATGAGGTACTAAAATCGCTGGGTCAACCCTCACGGGAATTACTAGAAGAACTCATGAATATGGTGAGATATGCTTTCTTTGAATGCTGTCTAAAATGCTTATGTCTCTTCAGCAGTAATTCTACTTTTATGGTGTTTCATATCTGATTTTTCTGCTGTTTTTCAGGCTGTTGAAGGTGACCACATGGCTGTTGGAATACTAGGCATTAGTAATGTCCAGCCATTATTGCTGCTTATCCAGTGGCTTCCAGAGCTAGAGTCACACGACCTGCAGATTTTCATCTCAAATTGGTTGAGGCGGATATGCTGTATTAACAGACAGAGTCGTGCCACATGTGTCAATGCGAACATGGTCATCCGTATCATTGAGACATTAAATTCCCATTCTGCGCTCCACTGTACTTGTGCAGAGAACCTGATTGCCCTTCTGGGCTCTTTGGGGAGCCAGTCAATGGGATCAGAAGAATTGCTTCAGCTAATACGGCTCCTGAGGACAGAGGAACCAAGGCAGGCTCACCCTTATGTTGTTCCAGTGATGCGAGCCATTCTGGCAATGGCCCGCAAGCAAGGCATGGCGAGTGCCTTGCAGTATTTCAACTTGTATCACAGCATGGCAGGAATTGCAGTTCCATCAATTCAGAAGTGGCCAGGCTCTGCATTTTCTTTCAGTGCTTGGCTTTGCCTTGACCAGGACCAGGTGGACCCTAGCTCAACTAACAAAAACGGCAAGCGGAAGCAACTCTATAGGTACGGTTATCATAATGACTTCAGCAGCAGAAATCTAGGTCATCTGTTCCCTGTGGCATATGGCACCCTATTACATGCGGTATTCAATCTCTTCTTCATAGTATGCAATATATAGCACTTAGTTTGGTTAGTTTGCGAAAGGGAGCAATATCATCCGTCACCACAGCCAGGCTGTGTTAGGAAATAAGCATGTAGTTTCTCAATTACACTACTTTCTTATCTGTAGTTCTTGTCTGCAGTTTCATTATCCACGACTCTGAATCATGTTTTTAAGGTACGTAGCTTAAAAACAACAACAGCAAAACACCCCAAAACAATAGTCTTCCCACTGTTTTCTGTGAAGACAGTGGAATCTGTGTTTCATACAAGAGAGCAACGAAAAGGGCACCTTCATCAGTTTAAATAGACATTGGCATGGTTTGTTCTTGATAGTTTATTTAAGTGTGGGTTAACTATCTGGGTACAAATGTTCAATAGGAATGTCAGCAGTATTTATACAGCAGAGCCCTGATGAAGGGTGCCACCTGATGACCTGTCATAACACTGTTTCCAGTTGGTCAGTGTGTGCCACTGAAGTTCTTAAATCGACTGTGGTCCTCGAAAAGCATGGTGGAATTACACTATGAAATTAAAAAAAAAAAAAAAAAAGTCTACTTACGGCTTTTTTTTTCTATGTGATGCTATACCAATAACTGGCTGTTTTTCTATCATTTTATGTATAATTTTGATGAAATTATGCCCAATATTTGAAGCTGTGTATAATTTCAGTACAGAATCTGTAGCTTCATTATAGGGCAATATTGATGTATTTTTGTTACAGGGCATTGACGTTGGCAATAATGAATGTACATATTCTGTATTGAAATTAATACAAAGAAATATTAAAAATTCCAGTGTCTTAGAAATATTGGTTAAATATTAACAATTCCATTGTCACTTTAAAAAAAAAAAAAAAAGATTTCTCATGACACGCCTGTGCTTGCAGGGCTTATTTATAGATAACTGCTGATAGCTGATCTTCATTATACTGAGTGAAATAAGTGTAGTCATAGTTATGTATCTTATTTTGCATTAAGGTTCTTGCTGACAGATAATCACGTTAAGAAAAAAAAAAATCCTTAAAAAACACTTCCCTTCCTTGTAGTAGTTCTGTGTCTTATTCTTTGGAACAAAAGTGATAACTAGTCAAATAGTAAATATGTGAGCAGCAACAAACAGCTTGAGTTGCTTCTCTCCTAATGAAAATACTGTTAGGCGACTTCCAGTAGGTTTGATGGAGTAAGTCCTTGACTGTGTGTTCTGTTGTCTTTCTATAGCTTTTTTACGGGAAGTGGTATGGGTTTTGAAGCCTTTATTACGTGCTCTGGGGTATTGGTGGTTGCAGTTTGCACAAAGAGGGAATATACGACAGTGATGCTTCCAGACCACTGTTTTTTTGACTCGCTCTGGGTAAGATTTGATACTGAAAAACATTGTTTAGGACAGTACTGTTAGCTCAGAAGTCACAAGTTGTTTTTTTTTTGGTGGTTTTATAAAAGGTCTATAAAGTCTATTTTATCATACTTGGTTTTGATCTTATGTAATTAATTAAACTCAAACGATACAAGCATTTTCCATGTAGATTAGCAGTTGATTAAGATAAATTACAACTATATTGTTATGATCATTGTTATTGATAAGCTGATGATTAGTGTTGTGTTTTTTTTATAGAGGTGTGGGTTTTTTTTAGTGGAGTTTTTTTAACGTGCACATTTTTGTATTAAATTAAAACAAGCATATTGGATGTGATACTAAGTGCACACTACTGTGTTTATGCCTTGCCTTTTTCTATTCCCATATTTAAGGACTGATATGCATTATCATGTAAGAGCTATATATCTTTTCTTCCCAAAACCTGTTTAAAAAGTAAACTACTTGGAAATAGAAGCAGTTGACAGCTGGTGGTATCTTCTTTATACTTTGGATTTATTTTCCAAAGCAGTTTCTTAAATGGTTTCCTCACCAGATTAGTAGAGATGAAGTTAAATAATAATGTACGGTCAATTCTGTGATTCTGTCATTTTCATGCAGTACTTTTTAATAATGTCTTATTCATTTTATTAACCAGCACAACATAACTATTGTTCACATGCCTGGAAAGAGGCCATTTGGTCAGAGCCTTGTATACATCTACGTCAACGGACAGCAGAAGATATCTGCTCCACTTCGATTCCCTGCCATGAATGAAGTAAGTTCACCTTCTGTGTCATACCCCTGTCCTGATGAACTCGCATAGAGGAATGAGAACAGAGTTGGCTTCTTTTTAATAATGAATTTGAGTAAGAGTTTATGATAGTGCATTGCTATTATGTTCAATTTTGGTCAGTGTGCAGACTATCAAGTTGGTGAATAAGTGTAACTAACCAAGTAATGCTTGCATAGTCATCTCAGTTTAAAAACAAAACTAAAAAAGAGTTTACCTTGTTTAGATGTTAGGGGAGTTGTCAGACATACTGACATACTTCATGATGAATAGTCACCTCTGCAAGTAGGATTGGTGTGGTAGTATTCATTGAGAAATACTTACTTTTATTTTCTGTGTGTCCCCATAATACAGGCTAGTCTTACACCTGCTTTGTTAGCTGGATAAGCAGTGTGCATTCAGCTAATCTAAACATTTCAAATGTATATGTATTTAACCTAAAATCTCATTTAAGCCATCAAAATGAGTCTATACCACGTTCAGTTTTCTTTGAAAGCATTGTCCATTCTTTGTGTGGAACGAATCATTTTTAAATTGGGGTACAATACTGACCATTTTTCCTCTTTTTCTAAGTCCTCATTTGATATTTGTTAAGTATTGTGAGTAATTTTAGTAAACACTTAGTAAACATTTAGTAATTTAGTAAACATTTAGTGAACATTTAAATTGGACATGGTCATGGTATAACAAGTAAATGCTATTTCCGTTGCAAGATAAAACTCTGGATTTTGGCTCAGTTGTAGAAGAAGCACTATTAAGTAAGGTAGCTAAATGTCAGGCAGGTAAGCCTCCCCATGAGGGCATCTATTTGAGTGGAGTAACAAGAAGAATACAGTAGCACATATGCTGCGGCTAGTATTTTCAAATATAATCCAGAAGAGAAATATCTACCCAGGTATCTTACCAGGGTACCATCCTTCCTGGCTCTGCTGCTGCCAGCTTTTTTTGGCACGCAACAGCTGAGGTTACCAAATTTGCTTTTGATTGTAGAAGGGGCACTCTCTGCTGTTATGGAGAGTGCACGTTCTTTTCATACTGTGCTGGATTACTGATTCTAGAGGACATGCCAGAACTTGCTACTCCTGATTTAATTTATTTAGTTCAGGTTTGCCAGAGTCTTCAGATTTGGTTTGCAAACTGATGGGGTGGGGGGGAGAAGGAGCTTAGATTTACAGTGTGTCTTTTTTTTTCCCATGCTTGACTGTCCAGCCTTTTACTTCTTGCTGCATTGGTTCAGCTGGCCAAAGAACAACGACTCCTCCTCCATCTCAGATACCAGACCCACCTTTTTCCTCCCCTATCATGCCCCATCGTACATCACTTGGGGGCATTCTGTCTCCAGGAAGTTGGGGTGGAATGCTTGCAAAACCGGAGCTGATCACCAAGATGATCTCAGCAGGGACTCAGGATAGTGAATGGGGATGTCCAACATCTTTGGAGGGACACCTTGGATCAGTTATCATCTTTCATGAAGCACTGCAACCCTCTCAGGTGAAAGCGTTGTATTTAGCAGGTAAGCAGTGATTGTACTGGTTTTGTGGAACAAAATGGATGAGTTATGGAAGTACTCCACTGAGTTTTGCTCTATACATACACATAATGATGAAGTGAAAATCCAGAAGAATTGCAGAGCTAACCTAAATGGGTTTGCTAAGAGGGACTTACAATAAAGCTCAAAATGGAATTCTAAGTATTTTTAGTTTTATTTGAAATGTTAGGTTTACTTAAGCTCATCTATTTATATGCACAAACCTGCCAAAATTAAAATTTTATGTAATATTTTCACTGTTAAGTTCTTAATTTTTCCTACTGTTTGCCTATATGTGTGCTTACAGTTGAAATGATTTAAAATTTTGCTGCTGTTGATAAGCCATTGAGGTGATGTATGCTTGAGGATTTTTCCACAAAAATCAATCAATTTAGGGGTGATTTAAAATATATATATATATATATTTTTTCTGGTAAGCTATGTCTTATGGTTTAAGGTGTTAAGGTAGTAAGTTCCATAATGACCTGCAGTTGTTAGAGATAAGCATGGAAGTACTTCCATTTAAAGGAATTATTTTCTGTTACTAAACAAAGATGTCTTGAAGATTACTCACTGTCTGGTCATTTGGGCTTGATGACAAATGGATTGGTGGCAAGTATCAGGAGACAGGTGTTTTTAAAGACAGAACCATAGCTGTTTATACAGACTAAAATATCTTTAAATAGCATTTTATTTAGCATTTTACCAAGAATATGTATTTCGTTTTAAGAAGACTGTATTGAATGGATGACTTAGGTCAAAAGATTACTTCAAAGCATGTCTCAAATAAGTGTGTTTTGGGGTGTCCAACCAAAGAATAGTAGTATAAAATTTGTGAATATCAACATTAATATCCAGTGAATTCTTAAAAATGAAAACTAATAATTATGTACATTTATTTTATAGGTCCAAACTGCTTAACTCCATGGAAATCTCAAGAGTCTGAAGTAGCAGACCTCCCCAGTAAGGTGTTGCTTCATTACACACCAAAGGTATGAAATAATATGTAGTTTTACTTTGTTTACATAACCTGCAATAATTTTCAAACTTGTTCTAGATGTTCCTTTTTGTTTTGCTATTGCTGTTTCATTAGAACAAGTGAATATACCATTTTTATGCTGTGGTTAAGGAAAGATGAAGAGCAGTGAGAGCTTTTTTAAACTGTTGTGCAGGGTAACCTATTAAAGTGTTATTTTTATTTGGCAAAAGGACAAAATTATCTTGTGCAATTGCTAACGTCAAATCTAAGGTAACATAAATTATATTCCAGGGGTCCTAAATTGTTTAAATACTACCAACACAATGGCACAAACTTTCTGAAACATACGTCATTTAGAAACCTTATTTGATGTTGAAGCATCTGCACCTTGTTTCTTAAATAATACTGTAGCCTTTTAATTTGTTTAACAGGCCTGCAGAAATCCAATTTGTCTTGACCTGTCTGCTAATCTCTTACATGGAAGACTAACTGGAAACAAAGTAGTGAACTGGGACATCAAGGTAAATGCATACTGAGCTGGCAAAGCCTGATGGAAATGTGATAGTAGCCATACATGTTCACCTACCTTTTGGAATGCTAGAGGTTATTGTCATATTGCTAATGACATTTAACTGATACAGACAGGTTTTGTAATGACAATTAATGGGTTAATGCTGTAGCTGGAGTAGTGTTGCATTACCTTTAATGAGAATTTACAAGGGTTGCTGCTCTTAATGGGGTTATCTGATTCATACGGGCCATGCAAATCATCTTCGTTTAACTTTTGCCAGCATTTATAACAGTACTACTGTTTCTTTAGTATTGGTGATTAAAATTTTACATTTTCTGGCTAAATCAGTTTCTAGTCCCTTGCTCAAACATTCTATTATAGCAAAACTGTCCTATCTGTATTTTTTCTTCGTTTGTTTGTTCTCTTCCTTCTTACTCAACACTTAGGGGGATCCATATGTTCTTCTGGCTGATCAGCTCTTTTCTAAGACTGACAGTTCAGGTCTGACGTTATACTATAGACGTAAAACTTGCTGTGAAGTGCACCCCAGCTTAATAAATATTTCCTCTGCCTGTTTGCTTATTAGTTCCAAAATCACAAGCACATATTAACATAAAAAATTCAAGTCAGGCTTCTCAATGTCAGTGAGAAAGTCGACTTATTTTCAGCAAAGGAGCTTGATCTAGAAACACTGACATGATAAAGGGTATTTTAATTTAGATGGATTATATTCAATTCTGTTCTGTACATGATCTTTTCTTACAACAAAAGTAAAGGTAAATGAAGGTAAATATATGAATGCTGTGCATATGCTCTAACTAGTGGAGATTAATGTTAAGAAAATTCAAATACGCCTGCTAGTTAACTTCTCTTAATACTTTGCAGAAAATGTAATTTGTTGCCCTTATCCCCAGTAGTGGGAAGAGGGGTGGGTGAGGATGGTTCATATCTCTAACTTCATGGGAAAGCATATTGAGAGTACAAGTCTTAGAAAAATAGTTTGACTTCATTAACAAACACGATGGGATTTGGCACCCTCTTGAGAAGGGATAAAATGTGACACTGATCAGGAGGAGCTCATAAGGAGATAGCTACAGCCTGAAAGGAGTTAAAACTACTACTGGCTTTAGGTTCAAAGAAATTCTGTTTTTTCAATTTTCAAAAATGTCGTGGTTATTGTTTTGCCCAGCTAACTAAAAAGCTTCATCCATGAGATAAATTTTGCAATTTTTTTAAAAAAACTTCCTTATTTTCTGTTCAATTATAATTAAATTCACCTTAATAAACACGAGGATACCTGGACTGGGAAGGAACATCATAAAGACATATGTAATACAGTAACAATTGAAAAACTGGAACATGATGGAGGTAAAAAGAATGGTTTCCTCCACTTCTCTCCAACATTTCCAGGAAGGGAGAGTGATATCCTGCATTAATAGACTGGCTTACAGAATATTGTTTTTATTTGTTTTTTAAAACTTTTAGGTAACAATAGTTTTCACCGAACTAAGCTGGGCAGGTGAACAGGTATCTATGGCTAGCTTTCTGGTTACTATCTGAGACTCAGATTTTTTTAAAGTGACATTTGGAATCACTTCTGGGAATCTTGTGATTTGAATATATTATACCTTAACACAAGGAACTTTATTGGAGGTGTTGTGCTACCCCTGTTTGAGAGGAAGGAAAATAAAATGTATCTTAGGAGACTTGAATTCTAAAAACGAGGATTAGAATTGAGGTAATGTGAAGTTACTTTAAAAAAAATCAAACTCGATTTTTTTTAAATAGTCTGAAATTGAAATCTTGCAGGAATAGGATTAAAACACAGATATATAGTTTCCTTCCTGCTTGCTGCAAGTAACTTAGGTAACAGAAAAATATGTTTCTCTCTGTTTTTGAAATATTTTTAATAGAAGATTCTGTCCAATAGTTGTATCCTTCAGGTTCCCACGTTGTTGAGGGGAGGTGGAAGGAAATGCAAAAATACACTTTGAGAGCAAGAGCAGGCATGTGTAACTACAGCACCTAAAACTACAGCAATTCTCTTGTTAAATTCAGTATTATAAACTAGTTTCAAAGTGATATGAAATAGTCTGATTTGTGAGTTCATAAGGTTCCTTGTATGTAGAGTGGATTTTGGTTACATAGTTCAGAGGGTTTTATTTATAGTGACCTTTTTCTCCCATTTCTCTTGATTTAGGATATGATCAACTGCATTGGTGGAATAAATGTGCTGTTTCCATTGCTGGAGCAGATCAGTTTCCTTGGTGGACAGGTGCCCGAGAAGTCTGAAGGGGAAACTCTACCACCTCCAGAAGCAGTGACTCCTGTAGAGGGCGACTGGGTGGTATTGGCATCCACAAAGGCATCAGGTAGAAAAGAACAGTTGAGATGAAATTGTTCTTAAGCTTGATTTTAATTAAAAATCTTCCTGTGAATGACAGCCATTCTATTACGTGCTGGTTTTCCAAAGTAGCAATGTACAGCTGACAGACTGTTCCTGTTACTCATATGATATGGTTACTGAACGCCAGCAGTTCAGCACTATGTAAAAATAACTTAATAATATATTGCAAATATAAATGTATTTGATAACATTACTTTTCTTTTAATGATTTACTCTTATATTAGCATCAAAATATGCAGTTATTTTTATTTCTCGTCTGAAAAAGTGGATCTTATTATTTTGAGAATTTTTTTTTTTAATGTAAAACCTGCTAATATCAGTAGGAGGAGCTTTCCTGCAACATGAATGCTGGGTCAGACAGCCAAACACAAACTTGGCAGTATCAGAACAGTGCTGTGTAGACTTCAGTTAAACTTTAATTTTCTTAGGAAAATGTCCACAGAGACAAATCAAGAAAAAAAAAAAATCCACTCTACTGATATAAATTGGAAATGAACTTTTGTCAGCAAACACTGGGAAACCAAGGTTTGCAAGGGAAACAACATTTTTGTTTGTTTTGAAATTGAGAAGGTGGAATAAATACCTATATTTGTATATTTCCCTCCTCCCAATTCTTACATATGTCTAGAAAGTTTGACTACGCAACTGCAGAGGGAGAATAACTGCAGCATATGCAAAAGCCTGTAACTGAAAGGAGAGAAGTCTGTCTATGCTATAGCCAGATAGATGAAGCAACTGGGTCACTTTGTTCTGGAGGGGCAAGGAAAGACTGATTCTTCATTGGAAAAAAGTCTAAAGACAGCCTACAGCTCTGGAAATAATGCATCAGGAGTAAGGAAGTTCAGGAAATAGTGACAAATATAAACACTTCATCTTACTTTTTCCCCCGCTGTCCAACAATCATCCATGAGGCTTTTGCTACTGTTCTGTTTTGCAGAAGCACGGCTGGAGAAGAATGTTGTTGCAACTTTCATCTTGGTGATAAAACACTTTATTCAGAGGCATCACGTTAATCAGGAAAATCTGATTCACTCCCATGGAGTTGCCACCCTAGGAGCCTTGTTACAGAAGGTGAGCAAATTTGAGAAACAACCCATAGTAATGAATGTTACAGCTGAGTAGTAATGCAAGTTATGAATGACGTCCTGATTACTTTGAAACATTCTTAATTTGTGCAGGATGCAAGGCCTCTCTCAAAGACTTACTTCATCTATGCTCTTCTTTCTCATATATCTGAAAACAAGAAGATATAAGGAGTTGATCTTGGTCTACAAAGTGAAACATGGTGTTTAGTCTTTATTTCCTCTTCTGCTTTTTTTTGGTAATTGATAGTGTATTATGTTTTTTTCAAACTAGACTGGTTTGCAAGTATATTATTGCTTTAATAACTGCAGAGTTGCTATAGAAGAGAAAATCTTCATTTTCTGAGAAAAAAAATATTTAAAAAAGAGAATATCTTAAGAAACTCTTCGTATTTTGAGTATTAAAACATGGTGTTCTTTTGAAAGGTGCCAAGCAACTTAATGGATGTGAATGTACTGATGGCTGTACAGTTGTTGATAGAGCAAGTCTCAGTAGAAAAGAACATGCAGCTTTTACAACAGATGTATCAACACTTACTTTTTGACTTCAGCATCTGGAACAGTGGGGACTTCCCCTTCAGAATTGGTGAGCTTTTGGACTTGAGTAACTGCACAAAGGCGCAGAACTTTTCACTTGACATAGATCTTTATCCAGGTTCTAACAGGAAGCTTTATATTGTAGGGCATATACAATATCTTTCTACAATCATCAAAGACAGCAGAAGGCTCTTCAGAAAGAAGTATGGAGTACAGTTTCTTCTAGACACACTCAGGGTTTATTATGGGTATGAGTTTTACCTCTTCTAACTCCTTCTCATTTGTTATGTGTAGCTGTCTGTAGCTGAAAGTCATGTCCATGTCTTTCACCCTATGCCCCCACTTGTCCTAGTGAGAAAAGAAAGCTGCAGTCTGTCTTTTAGTGGTTCATTTCATTTTCAAAATTGCATTAATGTTTTTCTGCTTTACTTATTACTAATCCTTGACTTTTATTATGGGATTATATAAAATTTATGCCAATGATACTGGAAATGGCTTGGAAAAGTCATTAAAGTTATTAATTTGAAGGACTTGTTATCAACAACACAAAATAAGTCACAGATGATGGCCTTTATGAAAAGAGAGGATGCCCATCATTTTAAGACACTTTGTTCTTTTATATACTTGTGGCATTTGAAGTAGATTTTTATTTTTAGGAATTTGGAAATTTAGTTTTCAATCTTGGTGTAGACTTGAAATAATTTATATCCCCTTATGAATATAAGTATGTAATTGGGGAAGATTGGCTAGAGGGTGTGAGGGAGGAAGCTGAAGTCCTGACCTGTATTCAGATCAGGAAAAGTCTACATTTCATGTTTTTTTATACGCTTGGTAAGTCTTATTGCTGCTCAGTTGCCTTACTTCAGTAGAAAGCTTGTGCCGTAATATCAAGATACATGAAAAATTCCAAACCAGCACAACCAAATAGCTATTACTGAATCATGGAGCACTTGCTTGAGTTGCTTTTCTTGTCTGTTGATGCGTAGGAGTGGCTGTAAAGACAGTGATTTGGCTCCCGATGACCTGAGAACAATACGGACATCCCTTTATGGACTGATCAAATATTTCCTAAGCAAAGGTGGAACACATGAAGAAATACAGAGCATCATAGGATACATAGCTGCCACCACTGAAGAGGAACAGGTATCCAATATGACATAAATTAATACTTTAAGTGATTTGGTTTTGTTTTATGATGATTAGGAGTTGGTCTCAATGATCCTTGTGGGTCCGTTCCAACTTGGGATATTCTGTACTGTTCTGTTTAGAATTCTTAATGTTTTGTGTGTTTAAAAAGTAGGGGCAAGACCACAAGCATAGTGTTACTTAGTATATGGTTCTATTTAGATGTAGCTGAGGCAGGTTGTATGTAGAAACATACTAGAACCTTGACAAAAGTGCTCTGCAGGTGAGGGGCAGAAAAGCACATGTGTAATACTGCCATTAGAAAAATTCTCTTAGGTTACAAAACCAAATGAATTGCAGTTTAACAGATCACTTGTTGTAGTGATACAGATTGCTATTTTGTAGATATTATCACTACTTGAATTTGCTTTGTAGTTCTGATTGCAGTTTGATAAAGTGTTCTGTATTTACAAAGTAGTCCAAAGAAAAACACCCTAATTTTAAATGTGGTAATAATGAACAGACGAGGTACATTGTATAACAAATGAAGGGTGAAATTTAAAAGCTGGGAAAATTTCCCCCATGCACAGGATGAAGTCTGTATGACTTGTGGATTCATTCAGTGGTCTTAATTTTGCAGCTTTGTGGAATTCTGGATATTCTCTTCAGCCTACTTCATTCCAGCCCAACCCCAGACCAGCTTTTTTTACTGCTTTTTGAACCAGGAAATGCTGATATTCTTTACGCTTTGTTACTGCATCAAAGATACTCTGATCGGCTTAGAGAACTTGTGTTCAAGGTAACAAATTGAATGATATGTTCATAAATTAATCACTGGGACATAAATCTGTTTTCCAGTGGTCTGGTTGCAGAAGTGCATGCACTTGGAAAGATGCTAGTTGTTCAAGTTTAATTCTTTCTTCTGGTAAGTTAGCTAGATATTATTGCTTACTGCCATAGTTGCAATGGAATTAGTGTTCTCTTGATGTCAAGCATAAGTTTAAGAATTAGTCTGTGCTGTTTGAGTTTGTTTTTAAAATTTATTTCGTAAGCTGTGGAAAAGCATGCTATGTCATTCACTATTAAGTTTAAGAGGTCTGGATGTTTCCTTCTGCTTATATTGCATTTGCGTGTACTGTTTCCTGCAGATTGTGGAAGAGATGCTGAAATGTACTAAAGTTTACGAACGCAGTAAGCACCGTATGAGACTGAGAGAAGTGGGATACTCTGGACTGGGACTCCTTCTGAATGAATCACCAGTTCCTGTTTCTCTCATTAAAAACCTTCTTAACCAAGTTCTGTATGCAGGTAATTGGGAAATGTTATGTCTGCTATTAGTAAGCTCCTGTTGCTCAGAGGTGAACATGTTTGGTTTTTGCTAAGGAAGGAGAGCTGTTACCTTACAGATCTGTATTATTTGCAGTCCACAGTAGCCTCAGTTGTTTTCTTAGTTTCCTGAAGTTTACATCCAGGGATAGTAAAGGAAACAGAAGTGACCTCCAAAGCTATTTTTAACAGATAGCTCTTACATTCACTTGCATGGTATAGTTTGATATACGTATATTCTTCTTTCTCCCCTACAGATCCTGTTGTGAATTGTAAAGATCTCATAGCCGTAGTGCATCTGGCACATAAATCAGATATAAACGTGAGAGTGGTCATCTGTAGAAAGGTTAGTTGTCATCTTAAAAACTGGAATAATGTTAAGTCCATAAGTTATACAGTTTGGTATCTTATTTATTTGGATGTTGTGGCTGTATTGGTTGCTGCTGTTGCTGCTTTCTTTAGCAATAACTTAGGATGTTAAGAATGAAGCCAATCTGTCACTTTATGTTGAACTTAGTGTGTTCAAGTCCTTTAAAAAAAAAAAAACAAACAACTTTTTTTTCAAAGTTCAAGTCCTTTAAAAAAAGTTCAAGTCCTTTAAAAAAAACAAACAACTTTTTTTTTTTTTTAAAAAAAAAAAAGGAAACAAAACACAAAGCCTTTATAAAGATGCTCAAATAGCATGTTTTTAGGGTTTAGAGGTATTGGATTCCTTGAATTACTGAGTTTTCTCAAAGGATGCATAAGATCACAAACGTGGAATACATTTTGTTTGTATTCCTAATGTGTTACTTTGATAGAACATATGGTTCAAAAGAGCAGTTGTGGGTGCAGGGAAGAGAGTAAAAAGTACTCTTTCCTTAACTGAGCTCTCTGGCTTGTGTCACTGAAATTAGCAGCACTGTGAGGTACTGTGCTATCTGCCAAAGTTTCTCAAAGAAAACCAAATGTATGCTATCAGTAAGCTATTAATATTGTAGTTTTCTTCATTGTTATATAATAGTTTCTAATCAATCATATTTCACATGCCAGTTATTTTATTTGTTTTGTAGACTAAGTGGCTGCATACAACTATTTGTTGTGATAACTGTTTTTTCCAGGTATTATTGCAGAAGAGTTACTGAAATATGGAGAGTTATTGATACACTTTGATAGCTTTTTTCCTCTCATTCCTGAGATGATATTTTTTTTTAAATATATACATTTCTAATGAGAAGAATTCTAATATATATACATTTCTAATGAGAAGATTTCTAATTTATTTAATTGGTGGTACTCATGTTTTCTGTTAACCAATTGTGGCTCTTTTACAAGATCTTAAAAATGCAAAATAAATTAGACATTTTACAACCTTGTAACTTGAAAAAATTAACGCAGTTTCAAGCTAAAATTAATATGTGGGTATGGAATATCTTCTATCTCTAGGTTTTGCATCTTTTACATTCCCAATTGGACGCAGCACAACAGATTTCTCAGCAGCTAGGCTGGCAGGACACTTTGGTTAGACTGTTCCTGAAAGAAAAGTCTGAGGTCCGGATTGGCTTTAGAGAGAACAGGGCTGATTCCTCAAGGGAGGAGGAAAAAAAGCCTCCTGCTGAAGATCTTCAGAGACACCATGCTGATAAGATGGAGGGAGATAAAGCTGGTAACTTTTCATCTGTTAATGGTTTGTTTGATCGGTGGAGTTTAGAAGACAACAAATCTTTGGATGTCCCAGCTCATTTCTCTGCTATGCCTCTGGAAGATGCATCCACAGGAGAGATGTCTTTTAGGTCAGAGGACCAAGAAGAATTGTGGCACAGTAATCCTTCGCATCTGAGTTTAGATCTGTCCAGTGTTGACTCTTACGAACTGGCTGATGTGAATCAGATGACAGATAGCCTACCCAGCACACCATCGCCTATAGAGAGCACAAAACCATTTTCTGGACAGCCTGACAAAGATCTGGGTGTCATAAATGATGTGGGCTTCGGTGCTGATCTCTCTTTATTTGAAAACCAAGGAGTAAGTAATTCTTTCCCTGTGTGGTTAATTTCTCAAGATGTCTGCAATTGCTTTTTTAATTGTCTCCTTAATGGGATAATCATTGTCATCTTTTTTTCCTTTCACCTTCCAAAGGGGAATAGCAATATAGCTCTCTTACAGTGAGTAGAGGCACCTGTAATGTAATGTCTTTTTTTGTTTTCTGGTTGGAATAGCTTGGGCAAGGGGGGAGAAGGGAAATAAAAAACAAACAACAAAAAACCTTCAGTATTTCAACATCCCTTTATCTTCCAAAGGAGAAATGATACAGGCTAAGTAATGATGCAGAAGTCAAGTCAGTATGTATTACAGATTCAGGGAAGCCAGTGCCTCATATTTGCATTTTCATGTATTTAGTGATTAGTCCTTAGACTGCACAGTTTTCAAAAATGCCAATACATGCAAGCATAGGACTGTAATGAATTAGGCTTTTTGCACTAGAAAGGTTGTAAATATTTATTTTCTTTTGTAGGGAGGTGATAATGAACTGATACAGTTACTTACAGACATTCTACTGTGTATAATGTGGAAAGGCATTGAAAGATCTGATGATGATGCTTGGATTGAGAGAGGACAGGTATTTTCTGCACTGACCAAACTGGGAATATCTAATGAGTTGTTGCGACCGTCTGATGAAATAAAACTCAAGTGAGTGTACAGCTTAAGGACAGGTTCTGTAACTTTTTTCTTGAAAAAGGGAAAAAAGTAAGGGGCTTTATTTAAGGTAGGAAGGGGTGGATATTTATTATCAAGATATAACTTTCTTTGCTCTATTTTCATATATTGTCAATATATTTTGCTACCTATTTGGCAGTGTAACGGGATTGTAAGGTTTTGAAAATCTGTATCCCAGGCTTCATGCGCTTTTCAAAATCTCTTTTACATGATTGGCTTATCAAGAAGACTATAGTTATAGCTGTGGAGTGAGAGATTCAATTAAATACTTAATTGGATTTTTTTAAAGCCACTTATATTTGGAACATGTAATAACTACTTTGGGATTTTTTTTTTTTTACATGCAGCCTGCTGGAGAAGATGTTAGAATGGGCAGTCACTGACAACAGGGATTCAAAAGCTCTCCCTACACACGCTGAAAATGCCTTCCGGCTCTTACTAATTGTACAAGATTTCCTGCAGGCAGAGGGAGTAGTTAATTCAAACTTGTGGACAGAAAAGGTATGGTAACTGCATAATGGAAATACTGTATATAGGCTGAAATAGTAATGAAAAAATTGTCAACTTTGATAATTTTACTTCTTCTAGGTTTGTATTTTTAAACTAGATATTAGGGAGTGAGGGCTCATATTGAAATGAATTAGATTGTCCCTTAATGAGAAAACAATATTCCCCATAGTATATACATAATGTTATTGTTGCAAGTTAAATAGGTCTATAGTGGTACTCTTTATTGAAAATCTAAGTCTTTTCAGACTAGCAAAGATCTGATAGGAGCTAATATAACAATGTCAGTTGCAGTCTAAGAAAATTTGGGACCTCTTATCAGAACGTGTGACTCAGTGTATGCGTCCTGAATAAAACACTAGCCAAAACCTTGATTGCAGTTGCAACGTGAGGAATATCACTGCTAGGTTTTTACCCATATTGGAGTTTTACCATGCTTTTGTGCATATATTTGTAAATAGGTTAATTTTACATACCTTGTGAGTCAGAAATATGAATTCTGAGGAAGTAAATGACTAGCAAACACAGGAAGTAATAAGATAAAGAAACTTTGTCTTCCTGCTCTGTTTCCTGACTTCTTGATGTAAATTTTAGAGATACGTAGTTTGCCTTATTTTTTCGTATTAGAAGCAATGTTTTTTTTTTTCTTTTACTTTCTGAGCAGTGTCATTGCTTTTCTATTTTTTGAGGCTGAAGGCAAGAGAAGTATTATATGGAAGCCTAAATTATGTCAAAATAAATCCCTAAAAAATAAAATAAAATAAATAAAAAAATTAAAAAGCTACTGTTTACTTGTTTCTAAAAGTGTAATGTTAAGAGTCATCACAACAGAGTAATTGCTAAGCTATTTCTCATGGTGCATGCTTAGAAACAAACATAGCTTAATCACAAAGCTTACATTTGTTTGTTTTTAGAAAGTCTGCTCTAGGTGAAGGTTTTGCTTTTAGTTGTGAGCTAGCTTTGTGAAATCTGATTAGGAATGAGTTCTGAACTTTGGAGCAATAGGACTTGTGCTTATTGCCAACTCTGAATTGAAAACAACAGTGCTCTCATAAGTTATCTTCCACTGTGCCTGGTAAGAATTCAAAGCACTGTAATATTTTAAGATAAGAGCTTTCAGCAAAGCACAGAAGCCTTCACATGAGTTTGGGCCTTAACAGAATAGAATGGAATAACAAATATTTGAGTAATTTATTAGGGAATTCATCAAGGTATATTTGTTCTGAACAAACATGTCTAGATGGTAAAATGTGTCACTTACCTTAGGAATAGCTTCCTTTCGTAATAAAGTTTGGATGTTGCCTAATCTACTGACAGAAAGGAGTGTTTCCTAACTTATTTAAGATACTGATAGTTATGAAGCTTCAAGCATTATACTAAATCAGATATTCGTGTAAGAAGCCTTGCTTTCTTTCTCAGTATACCATACATATTACTGTTGCTGGTAAACTATGTTAGTATTACATTTACATCGCATAAGACAAAACAAAAGAAAGAAATAAAAACCTATAAATACTGAACCATAAATTGCAAGTTGGTATGATATCTGTAATACTGCAACTAAAAAGGCACGCGTACCAATAATCCTGTTCCTGGAATCTGTAACATTTTTAAAGAATTGGCATTTCCTGCAGTTAAGTTACAGGAAGAAGACAGGCATGTGTATGCTGTTTTTGGTCTTACTGGGGAGGTACTTGAGTTAACATACTAGGCTAGCCATATTTTATAGTCATGAATTTTTTCAAATGACTGGTGTAGCTGCAATCTTCTGGGATTTTATGGTTTTGAGTAAGTTCAAAGTGTGAGTTCTTCATTTCTTTGAAATTACTATAACTCCAGCTGGAGTATTTGCTGATTATTTCTGACTTGTTTTACTTGCCAATCTTCTGCTTTTATGATAGCTCTTGGAGGAGTTAGTGACTCTCATGGATAGCCTGTCAATCTGGTATTCTGCTGGCCCAGAAGCAACCTGGCTTTCACAGGTGCAAGTCCAGTTACTCCTTGGATTCATTGCACAAGACAACTTACAGGTTTGTTGCAAATTCCTGCAAATGGCAATGTTTAAAGTGCTCATTTGGTGTAACTGTTATGGTTTTGGGGGATCTGCTTATGCCATTGAGTAGACTGACAGCAGTCTTTCATCCTCGTATATGCAAATATTTTATCAGGTCTTGCCTTTGGCAAGCTTACTCTGCAGTCCTGTCAATGTGCACATCCTGAGTATGTGAACAAGATAGAGGGCAGTCTGTTTGAAGATGGGGCAATGTAAGTGCTAGTAGCAGTAAGACGGCAATCCGAATTGTGACTTTTCATCTTTACAGTAAAATACACTGAGTGGTTTCACGTTTAGATAGAATAAGTGCACAAAAACCTGAGTCTGGAATAATGAACCCATCAGAAAAGCCAGGACTGTTAGTTTAGGTATGTGATTGCCTTAATGCAGCTAAGTGACTCAGGGTTGGTCATCACAGGATAAATAAGTGATCAGTGCCTGTATACAATGTATGTGTGCCCTCAGGCTGTCTGAGATACAACAAGAATATGTACAGTCTCCTGTGCTAAAAGATAAGTGCTCAAAATTACTATTTTGAGAATTGCGTTCATTTTTCGTTATTTTTTTTGTGTAGGTCTGTGCTATGGCAGCAGCCAAACTAAACACCCTGCTTCAGACTAAAGTAATAGAGAGCCAACCTGAAGCATGCTACCTCTTGGGGAAGCTGGAGGGCATCTTGAGTAGATCAATAGAAGAGAAAACAGAAACGTATTCATTTTTGATTCCCCTTGTTCGGACGCTGGTATCCAAAATTTATGAACTTCTCTTCATGAATCTGCATCTCCCTTCTTTACCTCCTACCAATGGCAGCCCCTCTTTCTTTGAGGACTTTCAAGAATACTGCCGCTCTGATGAGTGGCAAGTGTACATTGATAAATATGTAAGTAGTAGGTTCTTTTTGTAGCATCTTCTCCTCTTTTTGGATGCTACAGCAGAGGAATTCATATTCAGAAATCATGTTGCGCTTTTTGTTTTGTTTTGGTGGAAACAGATTATTCCAAATATGAAGCAGTATGAAGAGAATTCATTCAGACATGGTCATGAGCAGATGGCACTTTATTGGAAAGATTGTTATGAAGCGTTTATGGTGAACATGCATAAACGAGATCGGGAGAGAGGAGAAAGCAAGCTTAAATTTCAGGTAAGGTTTTGAGCTCTTCTAAGAGCAACTTGCATCTCAGGATTCACATCATAAACGATGGAGAAATTGAATTCCAAGATGACCAAATTCAAGTTACTGCAAGGATGTTGGTTGTTTTGCTGAAGATTTTATGGGCAGTTTGACTATATATACTTCTAGTATATGCTTTTTAGTTCTGTTCTTTATATTTAAGCATCATATCTATAAGCAGAGTTACTCCGAGACATTAGGTCTTCCTCCATAGCACAGCAACCTAGAATTATGCTCAGCTATTAAAACCTCTTCCCTGTTATGAGATGAGTTAGTGGTCCAAATTTAACCCTGCTTCAATGAAAACACTTAAAACAGTTAGCAGCTCTTACTGTGTGGAAAAACTGTCTGAAGTGACCTGTCCTTATAAGGTTCAGAATCCATTAAATTGCTAGAATTTACCGTTAAACTACAGTAAATGTCATAGCTAAGTTGCATTTCTCTTGTTTTCCCTATGTTGCCTTAAGATTCATGTAGTAAGCTTTTCTTTATTCTAGTAACTGTAGGTAGAATACAGTATGAATCACATTTTGGAATACCAGAATTTAAAGAAAAAGCCTATTTACCATAATTGGATTTTGCCTAGTGACCACTTTTCTTATCACAAAAAATTGCCTTCATTTGGATTCAGCATTGATAACCCTCTCTTCAAGCCTTTAAGTCAGTGTTTGGTGCCGTATCTTCCAGTACTAAGCTTTTTAAAATTTCTCTTGTAAGCAGTACCTTAAATTTTCAGAAATGGCTATTGCTGAACTTCTTTGTTCATTCTTCATTTGCAAGCATTCTTGCAAATTGCAAAACTGTTACTTCAGTGCTAGATTTATTTTTAATGGTCTTTCAGGAACATTTTGTGGAACCATTCAGCAGAAAGGCTCGACAGGAAAATCTGCGGTACAACAGTATGCTAAAGCAACTTAATAGTCAACACACAGCTACTCTGAGACAGTGGAGAGCAGCCCAGCTTTACTTGCTCTCTGAACGTGGCCCTTGGTCAGAAATGTAAGAGCAAAGTTCTTTGAATCAAACTGTATATGATGTTTGAAAGGAATTTTCTCAATGATTTACTCACTATTTTGTATGGTTAGAACCTTGTCAAATTGACTTGGATAGCCATTCTTGAGATGTAAAGTTAATATTGAATTCATGCTTGATAATGTTTTCTGTATTTTAATTATCAAGGTAAGTTTGAAGTACAATGTTGAACTGTTACCTGGTCGCTAGATTTTTTTGCCAAGTGACAAATAAAAAATTGCCATTTTTATGCATAGAGCTAATTTCAATTTAAAAGATTACAGTTTGCCTGTCTTGTCTTTTGGGTGAGCTCTGGATAGAGATTTTTTTTGTGATCTTCTAATAGTTATTAATAGAAAGTGTAACCAATTTGCTGTGTTTCAGTAGAAACTAAATACTGCTTACAAAATGCTTTAGGATGATAAAAGCCACAATATCAAATTATAGTTAAGATGCAGTTTACTGCTTCTGTGTTTTGCAGTCTACTGATGGGTGGGTGACTTGAGGATTTTTCTAAATACATATTCTTTTGTAATTAATTCATTCATAGTTGTTTTTTAACCTTTTAACTATTTTTGTGGATATTCATGTTATCACAGGAAACAGCATCCTATCCACTGGAAACTTTCAAATGTGGAAAATTTTTCACGTATGAGACTAAAACTAGTGCAGAATTACAATTTCAACTCTCATCAGGATGCTAGTGACCTGAGAGATAATTTAGGTAATGTTTTACTGTATTTACTAGCTTACACGGTTTCCTCAGTCTTCACTGATAGATCTGTGTATTTAAGAATCAGTATATTGTAGGTACTTAAATCATGATTTGTCTTTATTTTTCCTATAGTAAAATGTGTAACATAAGAGAGGTGCTTTGACCTGAAACAGCATCTTTCTCCTGGAAAGAGTACTTCATTTCCTCTTGCTCATTCAAGTGTGTATTTTTACTGAAGGAAAATAAGAACTCCTTTGCTTTAAAATAAGCAGTTGTGTACCTTTCTTGGGTAGTCTTATTTTTTCAAGAAAAATAAACAATGAGATCAGAATAAGTAGGCAGTATTGTTTTAAAAACTTTAAACATTTGATTAAATGTGTAGGTATGAACTGTTGTTTTTTTTGAAGTGTACCCAAAAGCTGTATTGTAATCTTTTCTTAAGATGTAATGGTGTAATCTTTTCTTTAAGTTAGGGTTCTTGGATATCAAGATGCAAACAAACAAACAAAAAACCTCAGTTATTTAAATCTCAGTCTTGTAAACCCAAGTTAGCAAAAAAAAAAAAAAAAAAAAAAAGTGTATTTCCATGAAGCCTGCATGCTGTAAGAGTGTTTGACAAAACACTACGCATTAGAGTTGAGTTTAAAGTTTTTCTGAGGTGTTTCTGTATTCTTCTTCTAGTTAGGTGAAATTCATAGAGGAGGGAGAGAGATAATTGACATATATAAATATACATATGTAATGATACACTTCGGCATTCAAATTTGATTATTTTCGGAACTGTACTTTTACCAATTATTTTGACATATATTTCAATGTAATTGGAGGAGCATTTTTAAAATGTTCTGCTTGCCCAACAGACTTCTTAATTTAAGAAATCTAATTACTTGTTACTCAGATAAAAACAATATTCAACAGTGGAAGATAACACTCAGTAGTTTAACTTTCCAAAAATGCTGTAGCAAAAAAAAAAAAAAAAAATCTGAGCTGATGATGTGTCTGTTACAATAGGTGTGCACCAGACACAGCCGTCTAGTGAGTCTCTACTTCTGGAAGTGGTAAAGCAAGTGAAAGTGAGTGACTTGGAAGATGATATACTTGAACTACCAGAGGAAGACACAACAGCCAGTTCCAGTATGTAAGTACAGGGGCACAGAACAGTTGAAATTTGTTTCCGTGCTTCCGAAGTGGGAAGGAATGGGAAGCAAATTATGGAGTTGATTAGCATGCAAAACTTCCCTCTTTGCCTGTTCTTAACAGTCCAGTTCAGGGCTCTGATAATTGTGAACATTAGAAAGCTGCTATTGGATTTCTTGTTGTAAACAGCAATACATGAAGAACCTCAAGGAACAGAAGTTCTGAGTGCAGAGTACTCAGATTACAGAGAAGATGCTTGTGAGGATTCATAAGTGATTCACTGTCCACAGTTGGTCTGATGCCACAGAGTTGCTGAGGCTTTCTGTGATGTACATGTATCTTGGTTATAACTCTCAAGAAACGGTCTACCCCGCAAAGGCATAGACCAGAGTGGAACCAGCTCTTGCCTGCAGGTGCTAGAGCTGTTCTATGTGGCACCAGCTGTATAATGTGGATATTTGCCTAACTGCCTTTAATGGAGAATACCCTGATTCTCATTCAAGGAAGAAGGCGTGCTGCGTGCTGCGTTACTGGATGCATGAAGTTGTGCATATGCTTGTGTGTGTGTATGTAGTTTGAAGTCTGGTAGAGACATGGCTTTTTTTTTTTTTTTTTTTTTTTTTTTACTTGGAGTGATACTTCAAGGGGAGTCAAGTTCATTGAGCATCAGACTGAAATAGCAAGCCTGAAGAACAAGACTAAAAAATATCTAGTAGTCTAGTCTGAAACATTCAGGACTGCTAATGAAAGTAACTTCATATAGTCATTTATGATGTACTTGTAATGCACTTCAAACTTGATTCTTCTCTGAACTGTGCTCTTGTCAAGTACCTCAGCAATTATATTATCTACCCAACCCTATAACACCTAGTGGTATTTTTGTAGGGATGAGAAGGATGAGCAGAGTCAGAAAGAAAAGCTAATATTGTCTGAAGACTGTGAACTCATTACGGTAATTGATGTGATACCTGGCAGACTGGAGATCACTACCCAGCACATCTATTTCTTTGATGGTAGCCTTGAAAAAGAGGAAGGTAAGTGTGATCAATAGTTCCTTCTTTACAGTGCAATTCAGCATTCTGCTTTTAGTAATGTTGATTTTTGAGAATGAGTGCCAAACTAATTGTGAAAATAAATGGTGAGGATCTGTAATTAATATTCCTTTTGGGGGTCAGAGGTCAGCTGATGACTTCAGAATCAGATATCTGGAACTATACATACTGACCTGTTAAATTGATTCAATATTCTTAGCATTTCTTTATTAAAAAAAATAAATAACCTGTGTGCTGACTGTCTAGCTAATGAACAAAATGTGTCATTTCCTCTAAGTTGTTTCTTAAATGGCAATTATGTTCTACATGACAAACGTTTCACCTGTACATTGATTAAAAAGTTCTAGTAAGTGATGATTAAGAAGTAGTAGTATGTAAAAAATTAACACGAACTTTAATGGAATATGCATGGCTAAGTATGAAAACAGTGAACTGAAACATTTGACCAATAGATGTAAAGTAAAAATAAATAAATAAATAAATAAATAAGAAATCAATATATCAAAAAGCTGGCCTTTTGGAAATTCTATCTACAAAAATCTTCTGTTTGAGCCCAACTAAGAAATGAAAGGGGTTTTGGTTTATGTTTTTGTCAATACATTTTTAAAGTGTCTTCAATCAGAATGCAAAGATATTCTCCATCCCATTAGATATTTTCTGCTGTCTCAATCTTTCAGTAGAAAATGAAGCTAGGAATATTTTCTAGCAAAATGGTTAACTAAGCCATGTATAAAATTTGCTCTTTCTAGGGTGATTGAAAATAATACTGCATTGTGTATATATGAAGAGTTTTTGATATATTTCAAGTCAGTAATCAAAACGTTCTTCCTAGGCGTTGGTTTTGATTTCAAATGTCACCTTTCTCAAATTCGAGAGATACATTTGCGTCGGTACAACCTGAGGAGGTCGGCTTTGGAGATCTTCCTTATGGATCAAACCAACTACTTCCTCAACTTCAATAAGGAGGTACACATTTCCCAAATTTCCTTGATTTGTGTTATTAGCACAAGTATCAAGTTTTAGTTCACTGATCGTATCTAGTGTGAGTCTGGTGTCTTTCATAATACTAGAGCATTAATAACAAAATGTTTGCTAGATACAGTCATTATGGGAAATCAGACTGCAGTCTCTGAAAACCTCAGTCTGGCATCTAGAAACTGAGTAACTGAAAGGATGAATAAAGCAAGACTTTTTCCTGTCTCTTTCTCTTTAATAATACAGAACTATTATTCAACGAAAGTTATATCAGTAATAATCTAACTTTAAGCCCACACATCTTAAAAAATAATCTGAGTATATTAATTACAAAGTAAAAGAGCTTTTATTTTACCACAACATTGGAAATCATTGAGATTTCTGTATTCCATAGCGTAGGATTAGTGAACTTTATGTTCCTCTGCATTACTCTAAGTGATCCATTGTGGAACTATCAGAACTTAAGGTGATTTATGTACTAGTAGGTCAATTTAAGAATAGCTGCTGTAAAATGGCTTTTTAAATAAATAAATCATTGTAGTAGTTTGGTAGGGAATATATCAGTATGGTGTAATTTTATTTGAACAGCAGTCTTCCTAGAAGAGTTCTGTGGGAATAATTTTTTTGGTGTAGCATTAATAAAAAAGAAGTTACTTCATAAAGTATACTGCCTTTATATCCTGAAATTGAAGGTTGTTCATCTATGTTGATCTATACACATCAAAGGTTTATACAGCAAGAGACAGGAGTGCTTAAAAGTGTAACTGTGTTCCATTTACTTCACATTTTAATTAACAGAGCAATTGTTTAATTGTCAGCTTTAATTTCTAGAACAAATATTTCTATGCTGTTTTCAAACAGGTAAGAAACAAAGTATACAGTCGAATATTGTCCCTGCGCTCTCCAAATATTTCTGGAACGAGATCTCCACAGGAACTCTTTAAAGCTTCAGGTTTGATGCAGGTATGAGACTTGAGCATAAACAGTCTAGAGCATTCCTCTGCTTCTTGAAGGAATCCTGGAAGGTTCCAGAGTTCTCAGTGTTTTTTTTCAGTATTTTAGATGGCAATTGCCAACTTCTGTACCCTCAGTCCAGTGTCTGAACTTTAACATGCATATTTTAAGAATTGCTGTATTTTGTGTTTGCAGTCAGTGAGTTTATGCCATGGGAAATGGACAGAGCTCAGCTCTGATGTGATTACAGCAAGTGTTCCAACAAGAATGGCGAATATGCAGCAGACTTTCTTCTGGTTTTAGTCCATGGTTCTTAATGTACATTTTGGAACTTCTCTCAGTACCCGTGCAAACAATGTTCCCTGCTATCTCTTCATTATAAGGCTTTCAAGAAAGCCTATGTGAAGATTGAGTATGAAGTATAGTGTTAAAGGAATTGGTGACTTTGGTATAATAATAAAATGTCAAAATGTCTGTATTACCCTAAACATAGATAATTTATCTAGATAGAGTAAATATATTTTTATTTTCCATCTGTTTATGAAATGATCATGGTTTTCTCTGAGGGAGCTTTACAGAACAGATAAAGAATATTGGGAGTACTTCACTTTTTCTTTCTTTGCCCAGGGACATGGGGTATCGTGTTGCATACCTAAGTAGAGAAAAACATTTTCTGTAATGAAATGTCTCCATCATGCTACAGAAAGATTTTGAGACCTTCTGAACACAGCCCTGTCTGTTCTTTAGTTTAAAATACAATAATAGAACAGAGGAGCAAGGATACTAAATTTACAAATTCCTGTACTGTTAGTCAATGGGAGAACAATTCATAAATAAGCTTTAACCTTAAAACTTTAATGGATTTCAAATTTCTGTTCCCCTTTTTCTCAGTGCCTGTTTTACCTTCTTTCTCTTTGTTTTTTTCACTTTTGTGTTGCTTCCACTTTTTTATTCTGGGGCAGCTAATTGTCAGCTGCATTGTATTTTACAACAGAACTGGTATTGATCACGGGCACAATTTCAGTGAATTTCAACACAATCAATGCATTTCAATGAAATACAGTGCTTCAGTGAAATGCAGTACGATCACTGAATCAAAGGGGAAATAAAATCGATTATGAGAAATTTGAACATTCATACCATGCTTATAGACTCGTGCCTTTTACTTGTGAATACTATCCCCTAGCAGATAAATACTGACAAGACGTGTAATTTGCAATAGTAGCAGCTTTGATATAATGATTTCCGTGGTATCTATTTTTTCTTTTTGTCCTTCAGAAATGGGTGAATAGAGAAATATCCAATTTCGACTACCTTATTCAGCTGAACACAATGGCAGGACGAACTTACAACGACCTTGCTCAATATCCTGTGGTAATTTAAAAAAATTCATTTTTTACTTTTATCTGACAGAGTGCACTTTTCCTGTGTTTAAAAGAGGGATCTTTAATCTGTTTGATTTTTGACTTTATTTTTTTCAGTTCCCCTGGATTTTACGAGATTATACTTCAGAAGAACTGGACCTGAATAATCCAGCAGTCTTTAGGGATCTGTCCAAACCCATAGGGGTGGTAAATGAGAAGAATGCTAAGGCTGTGAAAGAGAAGTATGTATCTGAAAGCTTATATTTCTGTCTTCTCTGAGACTCGAGGCTAATAATACGTGTAAATAAATAAAGTGGTGACACTAAAATTTTTAAAAGCTAGTTTTATAACATCACAGATGCTTTTGCAAAGATTGTTGATTCTTTGTTCCTGCTGCATTCAGATTAGTTAGCTTATACAGCACTGAAAGGACAATTTACTGTTGTTTCTCAGATGTGGAGATGAGAAACAGTATGTAGAGATGCTCAATTTAATGGTCCAGCAGTTTGAAGAGACATACTGTGTCCTGTATCTGTTTCAAGATGAGGAATGTAAAATCCTACTGATGAGTTGAGCTGTCTGTGCTGAAAGGTAGCACTGATCCCTAGATCTGTGCCTCCTGTTCTTTCTTTTTTTTGAGCATAGATTATTATATTTGAACTAAAATATAACTCAGTCACTTCCAGCAACTCCTCTGTAGGTAGGAGTGACAAGTACTTACATCCACACATCAGTGTAGCTATCCTTCCTTTTTGCTAGTGTGAGAAGTGAGTGCTGTCATACCAGATTGCATTTGCCGGGCTGCTTGCAAAATCATCTTTTTTCAGAAAACTTTGAACACAGAGCATTTTCTTTGAATGATGAGGGTCTATCCCTGACTGTAATGAAACTGGTTTCCTAGCAGTACGTTTAGCTGTAGTTTCTCTTTCTGGCCTTGTGATTTAAAGAATATATCAGCCAGATGGTGGCACAGTGCTGTAGAGAGTTTGCCAGTAGAAAAGGAAAATAGGCATGAGTGTTAAATAAATCTCTTCTCTGCATCCTGAGAGAATCACACATGCTTGTTTTTTGTTTTTTGTTTTTTTTTTTTAATCTTGCAGGAAACTCTCTCAAGTCCTTTTTCAGTAATAAATATTCAGCTTTATTCATGTGTTTCTGGTTTGTTTTTTTTTTTGGTTGTTTTATCTCTTATGTACAGTCATGCTAAATCAAGCTTGTCTTGCCCTTTATCCAGTTTCTGATGGCTGATAGCAAATGCCGAGGGAAGAGTATAAGAATGAGTATGAAAAGGGTGATCCATCATCTCATGTACATTTCTGTCTTTCTGTAGTCTTTTGCTTGGGGACTCTGAGACAGAATTTGAATTCTCATGTTTAATAGAACATGATGTATTTTTATCTTACAAATTCCTGTGATCATTTCTTTTGAATCCTTTCCTCCAATAAGTACAATCCATGTGTATATCAGCTGTAGTGCTCAATTCTATTTATGGTTATAAATATTTTCTTTATTGTATTTTTTTTTTTTTTTTTTTTTTCAGATACGAGAATTTTGAGGATCCCCTTGGGATGATTGACAAGTTTCACTATGGAACACATTACTCAAATGCTGCTGGTGTCATGCATTACCTCATTCGGGTAGAACCTTTCACAACACTTCATATCCAACTTCAAAGTGGAAGGTATACTGTGAGCATGTAAACAGCACCTGTATTTTCTTCCTTATTTTACCAAGAGGATGAATGGCCTGATCTGAGTTCTCTTACCTGCAGGTTTGACTGTGCTGATCGACAGTTCCACTCTATTCCTGCTACCTGGCAGGCACTCATGGATAACCCCAATGATGTCAAGGAACTTATCCCAGAGTTCTTCTACTTCCCAGAGTTCCTGGAGAATCAAAATGGTAAATAGATCGCTCAGAATATTCTGCATAGAACTTTCTTCTTGTATTCTTCTGAAAAGAAATACAAGCAGTTATGAATGCTGTGGAACACTCATTATTTAAGTTTTATAATGTATTTGTATAAATTACTTCAGTCATCACACTGGCTTCAAACTGTTTAGTGAGATACCAGTTGCATTAGGCAGCAGCCTGAATGTTGTTTAAAACTTAAGAGTGGGATCTTAAGGATGGCTAAAATAGTGTTGTCTGCCTAATGTAAAAGATCAGAAGTACTCAGGATATTTAAAAATGAGAAAGTTAACAAAAGAGTTCATACTGAGCAGATAGTGGAAGTTAGTGGAGATTAATTAGTATTTGTTTTATTGGTTTTGTTGGGTGATAGTCTGGACATCTTCAAAAGTGAGGTCTCATACTTGTTCCAGGCAATCGGTGTATTTGCTGCTTTTTATTGTTACCTACCAGTGCAATAATAAGTCTCTTGATTTTAGAGCTATGTAAGATTCCAATACCCATCAGAAGAAGGATGTGTGCGTGTGGAGAATAAGCTGTTTCAGTAACATGTAATGTTGACTAGAAAGACAACATTGCATTCTAGTATAGGACTCCTAGCTATTTTTTTTTTCACATTTAGTGCATAGGAGAATTGTTCTTCCTACTAGATGATTTAAAAATAGATTTGTGTGTTTATGCTGATGATAATTTTGTCTGGTAGTTACAGTCTACTGGAGTTCTAAGTTATAAAAATTTGAAACACCTAAGTCATGCTTTCAAAAGTCATTTAAATATTTAGAATTATTCTAATGAAAGCTGGTGGGATTTAAGGCTTAAAAGCCTTGATTCTGCAATAACTTAAACCTGTAAGTAACTTCATAGTTGTGAGCAAATACTCTCTTTTAAATATTTTGGACTCTTAATCCTGGTAAAATAAAGCAAGTGCAGATATGTCTAAAGTTAGGTGTGAAAATGATTAATGTTACTTTTGAGATTGGCACTGCAGCTTTTAAATCATTTGAGTGCTTTGGTTAACTTACGTTTCACTTAACATTTTAAAGATTCATAGGAGAACTTAGTCTCCTACGTCAGTAGTAAGGTTATTGTAGATTTATATAAAGAAGTTTTCAATATCCTTCCCATGCATTGAGAAAGAACCCTTTTAATCTTTATAAAGAAATAGAGATTTATTTTTGTAGTAACAAAATTCTCCAAATTATTAGGTTTTAACTTGGGTCAGCTTCAAATATCCAAAGAAGTGGTAAATGATGTTGTTCTCCCCAAATGGGCCCACTCTCCAGAAGACTTCATTTGTAAACATAGGAAGGCTCTGGTAAGATGATGGTTATGCATCTGAAATAATGATAAAGAAAGTACATCTACACATTGTCACTGTGGCTCAAATATAAAATACTTGGACTACGTTTGAACTGGAGTTGGTGTTGAATTTGATGCTACAAGTATCACTAGAATTTTCACTTTAAAGTCCTGTTCATGTAAATAAAATGCTTGAAAGGAAAGAAAAAATTAAAGCCTGAGGATGCTAATGATTTGGGAGTTTGCTGCCTTAGGAGATAAAATGCAGAATTAGGTGGTTTTGGGTGGTAGGGCTTAGACATCTTAGATGTGCTGCTTTGCTGTATTAAAGTTCCATCTTACATGGCAGTTAATGCACTTAATGCATATATATATTCTAATGCTTCTGCTCTATATGGTTGTATATACCTAGTTTGTAAATACTCTTAGTTTAGGAATTAAATCTTTTTCACAGAAAATAGTAAATACTTCAAGAAGGGAGCAGACTTTTCACATTACAAGAGTGTTTTTTTCTTCCAGGAATCTGAGTATGTTTCTGCTCATCTTCATGAATGGATAGATTTGATTTTTGGCTACAAGCAGAGGGGACCAGCTGCGGTGGAAGCACTCAATGTGTTCTATTATTGTACTTATGAAGGTACAAAGCAATATGCTTTTCTGTCATTGTCATCAGAATTGTGGGGTTTCAGTATTAGCTACAGAGGACTTGATTTGTGATCATGCCACACAGTAGCATATGGTAAAGCAAGAGAATTATGGCTGAAATGTGGCAGCATAACTTATAATTTGTTATCAGACACCTAGAATATTTGATGCTTTGATCAGAAGTTGTGAACCTAAAATGTTAATAAAGGTTTTAAAAGAGGGGACTATTTCAAGTGCTTGTGTTTTGTTTCTAAATGTGATGGGGGCTTTTAGTTGTTGTTGTTAGCTCTTCGTTCGCTTGACTAAAAACATTTGTGTGAAGGGGTTTCTCATGGATTAGGGTCAAGGAAAAATGTATAAATAAATAATAAATATATTGAAGATGCAGTCTATTAATACCAAAATTGAGTTTTGGGTGGCTTTTGTGTGCAATGTACTGCATGCATGTAGTATATTAAATCCATGTGACAAGACAAAGCCCTGCAACTCTTGCACTGGCAGATATACTTAGAACTCCACATACAGAGTACAGTTTTCAGATTGTATTTTATGTGGAGGCATTGTTTGGAGGCTTTCTTGGGGGAAAGGTTGAGAATGCTTCAATTAATTTGTTTTGTTACATTTGTTTGCCATGTCTTTGCTCAATATATTGTTTAGTTTATGTTTCTTTTTTTCTACCCTTCATCTTTCCTCTTGTGATCCAGGGGCTGTGGATTTGGATGCTTTAACAGATGAAAAAGAAAGGAAAGCTTTAGAAGGGATGATAAACAATTTTGGGCAAACTCCCTGTCAGCTGTTAAAGGTAATGCTGTTTGTTCCTTTTCAGTCAGATCCTTGAGGTTAAATCCAACTGAATTACAAAGGACTTGAAAAAGATAATGGTTTGTAATTTTAAGAAAGTTAATTCTTTGCCACATCAACATGCGTAAGGGTCACATTGATGGAAATTTAGCATAGCATTTTCACAGAAATTAGTATTCTTTCAGGAAGTGAATTAGGTGCTTAAGAGTCTGTTTTCCTGTTGATTGTCAATAAGATTCTGAGAGTACCATGTATGACTTGAAGAATTGGTAGATTTCTCTAATTTGATTGTCTAATTTGATACTCCTTCAAATGTCTCCTAGGAGCCCCATCCTCAAAGGCTGTCGGCAGAAGAGGTAGTGCAAAAACTAACTAGAAGTGATACCTCTACTCTGAATCTCTTCCAGCACCTCACTGAACTGAAGTCATTCTTCATAGAGGTAGACACATTATTCGAGATTGTCTAAAGTCTAATCTGAAACTTCTGATCTACTTGAAACAAAAAGCAGTAACCTAGATGAAAACAAACTTACTTCCCGTTTGAAGGAAATATTTTTAAATACAATTTTTGTCTGCCTTTTTAGTTAGCTTTGTAAAAGTTGATATATTTGTATCTGCTGGCATCTTTTTTAAGTATTGAGTTAGCCAGCACTCCATGAAAACTAAGAACAACACTGATGATATCTGGAGGCTCACTGAGTTTGGTGGCTAAATTCACTGATTTGAGACAGAGCCAGGGTTTAAGCACTGGTATTTGTTATGCACTATACCTGTATGAACTGAGCATGTGTGTATCATGTCCAAGAGTACTTTACGGGTCTGGTATTGATTCCAGAGGCTTTGGGTCTTACTCTTTACAGGTTCTGTATTTATCCCTCAGCTCTTGTTTATAATTAGACCAAAATCATGTCATTTCTCTTAGGGAATCAGTGATGGTGTCCCCATTGTCAAAGCTGTTGTCCCCAGGAATCAGTCACGTTCCTTTATGTCTCAGGGAAGCCCAGAGATCTTGGTGAGTTACACATGTTAATATTAAACTTGAGACTAACAGCAGTCAAAACAAATAGGTGCATTTTTTCATACAAAGTCTTTTTTTTCATACAAAGTTTGTAGAGAAATACTTTCTAACTGTTCCTGTTGAAATGTGTTCCTTTACCTATGATGAACATCAGCTATCAGTTAAAACTTGGTCTTCTGGAGAAGTTAGGCTGATTTGTTGAATGGCATTTAAGTGCTTATGAGACATGAGTAAGTAGTGGTGAGGTGTATTGTAAGTTGTCACCTGATCCACTTCCATAATAGCAATCAATTTCCTAATGTAAAGCGGTCCGGCTTTAAAACGACAGGGTTAGTTATTAATGACACCATTACATTTATCATTATTTTCCAACCCATATCTTAAACTGTGCCATGTCTGGCATGTGCACACTCCAAAGGCTTATACTGTTCCTAAAATTAAACTTCGCACTGCCTAATACAGGCTCTGGTACTTAATACTGGCTCTGGTACTATGGCAGATGTCCAAATGATGAAAGGAGGGCAGTGTTGGCATATTTATGTCTATATGCATGGTCTGCATAATGGCCCCTGTGCAATAATATCTGTGGTTTTTAGGAAGTAATACTTTCTGACATTGATATTTTGTAGGTCAAATTCATTGTCCTGGCTTCATGTAGTATGTTTGTCGCTTGGAATCTGAAAACATCTAAAATTCTCATTGTATTTTTTCTAAATATATGATGAAAATAATCTTGAATATTTCAACTTCTTCCTTGCTTTCTCAGAAACAGAGCTGTAGTGCTATTTTTTTTTTCAAACTACCTGTATTAATATGTTAACTATTACTGGTGACTATTTCAAAGAGAAGAAAAAACTTAAATGATAGAATTGTAATTAAATGTTTGGGGTTGGAGGGAATTGATTGGTTGGTTTTGTCTTTTTCTTCTTACAAATCAGCTTTCGTTGACCTGTCTACAACATGCAGTATTTTTACTTGGTAATAAGTACCACATGTGGATTATAATCTTTGCAAAGAAAAGTAGATTTCCTTTTTTGATCCTTCGTTGTTGAAGCTGCTTATCTGAGCTGGACTTTGTTTTAATGTGCAAGGGTGTGGGGTGTTCCTTTTTTTTTTTCTTAGTGGTGAACTCTCAAGTAGTCTGTGCTTTTTTTTTTTTTTTTTTTTTCCTGATGTAAGCTCCAATATCAGAAAATAAGTCTCTGGGTTTCACCGATTTTAATTCTATCAAACTTTTTCAGGTAACAGCAAGTCTGAATTGCATTATTGGAACCCATGGTTGGCTACCTTATGATAAAAATATCTCCAACTATTTTACATTCATCAGAGATACCACAGTGACAAATCCCAAGTAAGCAAATGGTGGTGATAGGTACAGATGAATGCATCTGTGGTAACAAAATACAGTAATTGTCTGATAATCAATGGACTGTACTGTTTTCATTGGCTGAGTTTTCAGCTAAGAATATATCTTCTAATGTTCAACAATAATAATGTTCGAGTAAAAAGTCCTGTAAGTAGCATTTCAGGGTTCTTAATTCTTAGAGCTATTTCTAATTCTATTTTTTCTAGTTACCATATCATAAAAACTCATATTGAAATCTGAGATGAATACTCTTTGCACATTCTTAAACTATAGTGAAAGCATGGCACTTTTGTATTTGATTTTTGAGAAAATTCTTTTTTCTTTAATATTCCAATATTTACTGGGGACATGAGTTATCTGTACAGAATTAAATGACTGAAAAGATGTAAGGTGAAATCTGGTTTCCACTGATGGCAGTGACAGTTTTGCCATGGATATTGAGGGGCAAAGTTTCACCTTTATTTATGTATAACTTCTTCTAAAGATAGAACTTACTACTTTTGAAGGATATAAGAGGTGCAAGATAAATTGATTTGAACTGAGTTTAATTTCAACTGCTCATCATTTGCCTACAGAACACAGCGCAGCATGAGTGGTCCTTTTGCACCTGGGCTGGAGATCACCTCTAAGTTATTTGCAGTATCGCATGATGCAAAACTCCTCTTTAGTGGAGGACACTGGGACAATAGCATCAGAGTGACATCTCTTACAAAAGGAAAGCTGATTGGACAGCACATCAGGCACATGGGTTAGTACCTCTATAGTGAAATGAAAGGTTTTATGTTGGAAAATAGAATTTTTTTCTCAGAAGGAGTAGTCAGGCATTGGAATAGGTTGCCCAGGGAGGTGATGGAGTCACTGTCCCTGAGGGTGTTTAAGGAAAGGTTGGATGTGTTGCATAGGGACGTGGTTTAGTGAGTAATATTGGTGGTAGGGGGACGGTTGGACCAGGTGTTCTTCGAGGTCTTTTCCAACCTTAATGTTTCTACGATTCTATGTATTGCACTGTGACTTTTGTCCTTCTTGATCAAATTATACTCAGTGCACCTGGGCTGGTAGGCATAGTGGTCATAAAAGAATGGCAATGTAACAACAGAGGAATACTTAAACTGTAATTATACACATATATTTGAGTATGGCTTTTTAGTAATTGTAGTGATGGTTTAATATAGTTTCAAAATAAGACTTCCTTTTTCAGGTAACAAACATGATTAAATCATGCTGGTACACCTGGTTGTGTAATGGTGTCATTGGTTGACACAATCTCATCAGTCCTTATCGCAGCAGAATGCTTCATGCTGGCTGTAAATGAGGATAGATTGTTGACATCTTATGTGCTTTTTGTCAAATTGTGGAGAAATTAGTCTTAAACTATATAAACTTCTTGTTATCCTTTCTTTGTCTAGATATTGTGACCTGCCTGGCAATAGATTACTGTGGAATCCATTTAATTTCAGGCTCCAGAGATACTACCTGTATCATATGGCAAATAGTTCAGCAGGTATGTTGTTTAGGCATACTCTGAGAAGCTGTTTCTGCATGCTTCTTTTGTTTCATTGTTTTGCTGTGATGGTTTATTGATTTCCTTTCTGCCAGCTTTGCAGGGAAAAATAGCCCATAAAACCTGATTAACTTAGTAATTTTGTTAGTCCCATTATCTTCTATGTTTGAAATATTTACTATATACATGAGTTACTATATAGCTAAAGTACAGTAACGCTGATCGTTCTTTGAGGTTACTTTGCTCTATTTAAAGGCACTATCAAACATTTCACAGGTTATTTTCAGGATAGGCTAATATCATCCCTATTGTACAGACAGAAGAATGGGAGAACAGAAACACTGCTTGAGACTACAGGAATTAGAACAAATGCTAAAGAAATGCTTATAGTTAGGGATTTTTACATTTCTAGGCTGCTTTTTAACTATAATAGTTGCATTTTAACATTGTATTTTCTCTGTGGGAAGTGCTGATGCATGGTAACCAGGAGTTAGCAAAGATATCACTAATATGTTACATGAGTTTACATTGGCATTTTAGAATTCTTTGATATTGTTTTTACCCTGTGAAAGAGGTTGTGTGATGCATGTGTGTGCTTACACTCAGTGTGAGGTATCTCCTTTGTTATGCATTTTAAAAGTTCATTTCTGCTGCTTCATACGAGTACAAATAGCATTAATTGTAGAATGGGCCTTTTACATGTTATGGACAGGACATTTGGTCATGTCACCCTGTTCTTACCACTGAACCTAAAGTTAGCACATTAAACCATATGTGGAACATAACTGTGTTTAGTGGATGCATGCTGTGAAAAGTTAGCTGTCTTTTATGATGAGAGTATTTATAGTTTTTTTCAAGACGTATTCTGTACTTTGTACAAAATAGTGCATCATCAAAAAGGCAAGACCTAAGTGCTTAAAACAGATTTTTTTTTCCTCAAGACAGAATAAGTGTTAGAAACTTCATAGTTTATCTTTTCAGAGTCAGTTGAATGATGAGTCCTCTGGAGATGATTACCGTTTAGAATTGTTTTGCTTTAGTATTTTTAATTACTTTTTTATTTAGTGGATATATGTGATGTTTTATGTATTGTAAATTCTTCTCATGAGAGTTTTTTCTTGGTCGTTACAAAGTGAGAGTAATGTTCTGCAGACTGCAACTTCTGTTCTACTTCTCTGCCCTGTATTGTCTCTTCTTTCCCAGCTCTTTAATCTGACACTTGTTCTGCATGGGCAATGCATATGCTTCAGGATTTCAGGACTTGCTTGGCAGATTTCTAACACACAAACTAGACTGGAGAGTTCTCTGCAGAACTCCTTTTCTGTAAGCACAGATCTTGCCTCAGAACTGGTCTGAGAATGTCTTTATATGCTGACAGTATGCTTACTGGAACAAAAGTACTAAATTGTTTTGACATCCTGCAGTCATGTGAGCAATTAGCTTACTATTTTTAATGGGCATTATTGCAAGATTTCCATTTTATATCATACTAGCAGCAGTCACTTAGAAGTATTATTTACTTGCTTTTCCCCTAGAAAATAGAACAGTTACTTTCATTTTTAAGCAAAAAAATAGCAAATCTCAAGAAATATGAAACTTATGAAGGCAGTGCTTAATTCTGTGGTAAGCTGTAAGAATTGAATAAGCCCAGACACATGGACAAAAAAAAATAGGTGGATGGACAAAGGACTCCTGTTAGGACTGCTCGCTGTGGTAGTTGCACACTCAGTCGTCTGTATAGCTAGAAAGAAATCAACTAAGTAATTCTGTCATTCACATCCACATAGTACCTGTATGTGCATTCATTCCTTGATTTCAGTAAATAAGACTGCTGACATAAAAGCATAAATTGAAATTGGAATGGGTGAGTTGTGCTTTTGGTTTTGGCCTATGTCAAATATACATATCGCACAACTAATGCTGAAGATACCAGAAACTTATTTTTGTTTGTCCTTCAGCTGCAAGAGAATGTGTCATTGCACTTTTTGTTACTCTCAGGGAGGAGTGCCTGTCGGCCTGGCACCTAAGCCATTACAGATCCTTTATGGGCACACTGATGAAGTTACGAGTGTTGGCATCAGCACTGAACTGGACATGGCAGTGTCAGGATCCAAGGTAAGAATTTTAATGCTTTTCCCTTCTTTGCCATTTCTTCAATAAAATGCTAGAGCATGTTTGAAGAATAATACCAAAAATGTGACTATTTCACTTTTTTTTTTCTTCAGCCTTGCACATCAAGAACATATGTGCCATCTCTCTTGCTGCCTACTTAAATCAATCTGTCTCAAACAGTGCTCTACACAGCATAGGCCTCAGCTACCCATGTTGTGCTAGTTTGTACAGATGAGCCTTTAGGTGTATGGACCTATTTGGAGAACTTAACCTTCTCACAGAAACAATTCTGTGACAGCTCCTTCCCTGCTTGCTTAACCTTGAAGGCTCTTTGCAGCTTACTCAAGCTCTGCATTTCTGTACTGCATTGTCAGGCTGCTGAACTCTGTAATGCACATAATGCCCAGTCATAAATGTGGCTTGTAAAACGGCTGATTTGTTGTCTATCCTGCCCCCTTGCTCTGTTTGCATTTGTTTTTACATATGCCTATAGTACTTGGCCTTGAGGGGAAGGATTCCTCATGCAGGGTTCCTAAAGCTCAGAAGTCCTAATCTCCAGTTAAGATTTTAAGTACTTTAAAAATCATTCATTTCTATTTAAATACTCATTGTATCTGTTACGGTAACTTACTTCAGAGGTTGTTGCCAACAACTTACCTAAATTTGGTCTCTGCAGGATGGGACAGTTATTATGCGCACTATTCGGAAAGGTCAATACATGAGAACTTTGCGACCACCTTGTGAGAGTTCCCTCCTGTTGACTGTTCCCAATCTGGCTGTGTCCTGGGAAGGCCATATAGTTGTCCACACCAGCATAGAAGGAAAGACCACTCTTAAGGTACTTAGCTTCATGGAATACCTCTGTTTCTTTTGCTGAAGGTTTTAATCATAAATGTGCCATATTTGTGCTTTACCCTTATTTCCTTAAAAACTGAGGCTTTTTTGATCATGACATGTCTTTTTTTTTTTTTTTTTTTTTTAAGTTTTGCTAGCCAATTTTAGTGTAATTTGATAAGGCAAATCACAGACATACTGTGCTCCTGTATGTTTCACAAGAATCTCCAAACACCTGCAAGGCAGATACCCAGGCATGCACTAATTAATCATCCTGTGAGAGCTGTTTTGAAATGCAAAACTAGGAGTTTTGCAAGTTCCACTACTCACAAAAACAGAGGTTCATAAGGGGAGAAGTAAGATGTAGATGCAAGATGCTCAGCGACTACACCAATGTTTCTTAGTTTTGGATTGGAGAGACACCTATAAGGTTTGCTATATAGCTTACTCTGTCTATTGAGTGGCTGTGTAGCTGTTCTAAGTGTAGAACTGTTATGATTTCTGTGAGAATGGGAACTTTCCTGTAAGACAAATTTATTGGATATAGGTATGCTAGCTGCATTGGGAAGACTGGGGAGAGATGAAACACCAAGGTGTTGCCAGGCTGGAAGAACTTCAGAAGGTCATGTTAGCCGTGTCTTCGATCCATCAAGAATTTGTTGCCTTGTCCAAGAAGTGCTTCCAGCTGTAGTTTGACAAAATAAACTTGTTTCCTTCTGCTTTTCAATTCAGGGTGAGGTGAGGGGGCTGAAGATAAGAGGGCTCTTTCCTTCTTCCTTAACAAAAAAACACCAAAAGACAGAGACCTGTCCATTAAGTCCATGGATGTTTCCAGAAAATTTCGAATCGATTACATTGATAGGTAGGATGTTATGTTACCTCAAGAGGTAATGAAAAGTAACTTCAAAACTTTCCATACAGGACCAGGTATATGTACACGTAAGACATGGGCTCAGTTTTCATATCACTCAACAAGCAAGCTGTTGTCAGCGATATTATCTGTAGGTTACTGTCCAAGTCAACTCTTACCAGTGAACTAAATATACAGATAATAAATTTTGAAGCCAACCAGTCCTCTGTGATATATTTATTTTTGATTTATTCAGGATAAGAATGCATTACATCTCTATTCTGTCAATGGAAAGCATCTGAGTTCTGAGACTCTGAAGGAAGAAGTGTCAGATATGTGTGTGACAGGAGAGTATATTGTGATGGGCAGCTTACAGGGATTTCTTTCCATACGGGATCTCTACAGGTAATGTGCAACCAATGAATTGATTGAGATGCAAATAGAGAGGTTCATTTAGAAATGGCTGTTGTAATATCAATTCTGCTTGGTGCTATAGGTGGTAGCAATTGCTTTTTTTCTGTGTTCCTGAAGAGGAAAAAAACAACAACAAAAAACACCTAAGGGGAACTTAGGTGGGAGAATGAAAAATGAGAAGTTGTACCAGTCTACTTTCCTCCCACATATATATCCCAACCATAGACCTATTGCTGACAAAACTTAGGAAGAGCTGTGTCTAATGCAGGCAACTTGTGGTTGTCCCCGTGTCTGGTTAGTCATTGGGAGCTCAGCAACAACTTGGTATCATGATCAAACCTTGTATAGTTCTGCACTGCTCTGTAGAGCTCCATTGGTTCTCAGAATGGGGAGTGATCTTTGTCACTTAGTCAGTTGTGGGACTAATGTTACTGATCTTCCAGTCAGAGTCTCTTAATTTTCTGACTAAACCTGCTGTGCCCCTTCTTGTTATTGAAGCTGTATTCTGAGGTATGATTTGAGCTTTCTGTAAGAGTTCATAATAATCAGAATTGCAAACTAGATCTTTGAGAAACTCTTTTATAGCACATCCTATGATCTGTGATCTCAACTGCAATGTGATTCTTTTCAATATGAAAAAAACATACATAATGTACTTTGTCTCTTGTTCATTTCAGCCTGAATCTGAGCATCTCCCCATTAGCCATGCGACTGCCAATTCATTGCATTTCTGTCACTAAAGAGTATAGCCACATCCTTGTTGGCTTGGAGGATGGCAAGTTGATTATCGTTGGTGTTGGCAAGCCAGCAGAGGTAAAACCCACCATCAAGAACTTTTTCTACCGAACAGTGGGAAGTTCACTTATTTCTGCTTTCCAGCTGAGCAAGAGGTCACCTCTATGGCAGGGTAAATTTAAGAGCAAGTTTCAGTTTTCAGTGGGAAAGAAATAACTTTTGAGACTGCTGTACTGAAATTTCTTATAAAGAATCAAAGATATATAGGGATCACAGATGGGAAGCTCAGCTGGACTAACTTGCAGACTTTATCACTGACATCTGAATAAGCAAAATCTTAGTAGCTATTCTCTTCTGTATGTGATAGTGTTGTCAGCCACTTTCTGATGAAACAATTTCCAGAAGAAAAATGGAAACGAAAGAGAGCAAGCTTATTTTATTTTTTTTATGGTTTCCATCAGATGTCCTTTAATATGCATTGACTGACATTGGGGAAAACAAATTACTTGCTGTTAAGAGTGTCTAATTGTAATGCGTAAAGAATTACTTGTGTAGGTTCCCCATATGCTCTGTGCTCCATATGGTGAATATAAACTTGTTGGTACTGCATATGCAATATCAAATACAGAGCATCCATCTGTCAAATAGCTATGCCCATTTTTTCTTGTGCAAAACACAGGTTTTGCTCTAAGTACTTCTTGTCATAACTTTCAAAGTGCTTTAGTTAACTTAAACTTGCCTCTCTTTATAACTTGATTTCCATTGTGCTGCAGTGTATTTACTTGAAATTGTGGTAACTGCTCTTGCATGACCTTTAGTACATGCCAGAAGAGTTTGTCCCAATTTTATAGTTGGGTTGTGAAAACAGAGCAGCTTTATTTGTCAGTGTTTGAAAATGTTTTAGCTAGATACGCTGTTTAATATTTTAAAAAGGCTTCATGGAATGGTAGTCTAATTTTGGTTGCAGCAAATAGGGAGGGGAAGTTTCCACTGCCTTCCAGCTGGACAGTTTTTTCCTACTGTAGAGTTGATAAAGAGCTGCTTATGATGTTGTTAAACATATGTTTGTAACAACAGCTTTAAAGTCACCTTCACTTCTGTTTCCTAATCCTTAGAAAATATCTTTTGTAGGCTGAAATGTATGTATTTCATTAGACTGAAGGCTTTCAGCTCTTTCCTCTTCAGTTCTTAATCATATTTTTCTAACTGTGAAGAAGGTTTTGTTTCAAGGTCTGGATTCCTTTTGTGAACGTAGAGGTTTTCCAACAATTTTTTTTCCAGGATTTTCTGTTTATAACTCAGATGATCTGCAAGCTTAATATCCATGTAAATAGATTATATATTTATTTATATACACACACACATATATGAGGAACAAAATTATGTCACAGATTTTCTAGTTTTCTATAATGGCATCAACCAATACACTTGCAAAGTGTGTGTGTGTGGGGGGGGTATTTATTTATTTATTTGTAGTTAGGAATTAGAAGAATTTTATCCTTATACAGAAGACACTTTAATTTTGACTATCGATGATGATACTGATCCATAGGGTTAAAAGGAAATAGCTTCTTTATTGTGCACAAAGTGAAATGCTGCTTGGTGTTAAGATTGGCCTTTAGTCTTTCTGCATCAACAGACAGCAGCCACTATGAAGTAAAGTATAATAAATGTTTTTGTGTTTTTAACAATCTCTTAGCTCTTTGGGATGTTGCAAAAACCCGTGGGATTATCACCTGTAAGCAGCACTGTGCCTTTTCTACAACCTTGCTGCTGTGATGATACGTTTTTTAAGCAAGTTTAGCCATAGTACTAACTGTTGGGAATGGTTCTCAAGCTTGTACAGTTAAGGCATGCATCTTGTTTATTAAATTGCAAGGCATTTCATAACCTAATCAGCTGCCAGGTTAATTACTACTAGCCAATCATAAGTTCTATAATTAATAAGTGAATTAAATGTTTCTTATAAATTGTTGTCAGATGGCAGATTCACCAGGTGCTGGATTTGATGGCTTCTGGTTGCTTGTTATCTGTTTACTTACGGGATATTCAGTATGAATTATTTCTGGTTTAAATTTTACTCTGAGCACTTCACCCAGGATCTTTGGAAGCTGGTGTAAATTTGAAACCAGGAGATATCCTTTGTTTTTTCCTTCCTTCAATCTGTCATAACTGTCCTGTGATACTCCATCACTTGAAAGAAATATTCAAGGATCAGTTTTGGTGATCTTTTCCTTTTAAATTCTAGCAATTTTCTGTTTGAATTCTCTAAAATAAAGTGTCCTTTCTGCTAATTTGATTCATTTTTTTTGACATTAACCTCTTTTTTTTTTCTTTCTTCCAATCAAAATATCTAAACTCAACACTGTTTCTAGGGTGTTAAAAGTAGGCTAAGTATTGAATATGCATTACTTGGCAATATCCCTTTAGCAGTTCGAAGTCAAAGACAACAGGGATTAGTGTTTTGTCTGTTGTTTGTTGTTGTTTTTTTGTTTTTTGTTTTTTTTTTTTTTTGTCAGTCCCAAGAATCATTCCTAAGTGTAACTTTTGGTTTGTTTTTTAATGACTTTTGTTAGTGTAATTTTGTTTATGCAGTACATTGTAGTGTCTGCATTTCACCAAAATCAGTGTCTGAAGTTCCTTTTTAATTTATCCACCTTATCCCTTCCCCTTCCTTTTGTTTCTCTGAATTACTTTTAAACAGATGCGCTCAGGTCAGCTTTCCCGAAAGCTGTGGGGATCAAGCAAACGGCTCAGCCAGATTTCATCAGGAGAGACTGAATATAACACTCAAGATTCCAAGTGATTGCTGCTTCTACCTTCTCTCATGGATGCCAGAAATATATTTAATCTTTTGGTCACTTTAAATGTATATCTCAGCTTTCAGGGGCTTGACTGTTAACAGTCTGTTGAAGACGAACTTATGGTAGAGGTTTAGTAATAAGCGTATGTACCCATGCAAGTTAGCTTGCTTGCACATTTTTCCTTAACCGTGTTGATTTGGTCACAACAAAATCCCTCTCTAAACAGCTGCTAAAACAGTGTTTCAGGAAAACAAAAAACCTAAACACACAAACCAAAAACACCAGACCTCCAAACCCAAGCTTGCTAATCGAACTTAAGATAAGTACCATTTGATTTAAAGATGAATAGGGCCAGATGCTCCTTGATCACAGGAAAGATATTTGGCATTGCTTTCACAGCACTGTAATTCCCCAGCAGTCAGTCTAAAATTGTCTGTTGCAGTGGTATGATTCAAAACTGGGATAGCTGACAATTATGACCTTTTCAGTATGTTTTTTAGACCAATGAACAACTTACTGTGATTTGTTCCTGTAAATGCCTATTGCTATCTTCCTTTATGTAGTTCCAGTTTTAGGCTGTTCTGCAAGGAACATCTGTGTTGCACTACTTGATTATCAGAAATTCTTTAAAGTACAGACATGAATAACTTCAAAGAAGTTGAAGGTGGTGAAGGAGCAGAAGGAGGTAGGAAATACTTGCTGCTGAAAATTATTTATATTAAGTAGACTAAGATGCACACTAAGAAATCCCATAATATAGTTACTATCTTGAAGAAATAACAGGAAAAATCATATATCCCTGTTGGTCAAAGATCTATCCTCTTCATTAGTAAGGCAACAAATTTTCGCTGCAAAATCATTTAAACAACACTGCAGAACAACTTAATGAAAAAGCACCTGTTTGTTTCTTGGCTTGGTATTCACCAAACCAGTTGTTATCCATATTTTTGTTTCTGTAAAACAAGCAGGAAAACAGATGATGTATCCATTTTCAAGATGTGTGTAATAACTGCGAGAAGAAAATATCAGATCCTTACATGCTCTATACGCAACAAAATAGTTATGGATTTGTTGCTATATTTTGGAAAAGCCATTACTGAATGTTTTTTTGTTATGTAATATTTGATGTTGGAAGGGATTGTGTTTTCCTGTCATTCTGGCGTTTTTATAATGTTAGTGATTTAAGTTATAAACCTTATACTGCTGGAAAAGCCTGGTGCTGAGGGAAAAACATGATTTTTTTTGACTGGTGTGCAAAGGTATGTGTGCATGTGTGTATATGTGTCTATGTATATATATGTATATACATGTATGTTTGTCTATTAAAAAGAGAAGATATTCCCCTTGCATCTTTTAGGGTAAGGGGAGTATAAATATAAGGCAGAGCTCTAATTGATTGCTAGCTAGTATATTCCCTTTTGGCTACCCATCTCTTCCCTCTGCCATCACTTTTTTGTGTTATTTTTATTTATTTATGGATGTGAATGTGTTGTACCTCCTGTAAAGGTTATCAGGTATTCCCTGTGACTGGGGACCTGTTGAACTACCTGAGAACTCCATTATGTATAATCTCATTTCATTAAATTTTGGCATAATATTTATTATCTTTATAGAAATAAAGTTAATCCTTGCCCCGTGGAAAAAGATAATCTTTAAAAGTCCAATTAGTTTCAAGAAAACTGTTTACTCTTCCTCCTCTTAATGACTGATTGTGTGCTCTGTAAAGAAAGTTGTGTTGTTTTTTCTTTTGTAAATGAAATAGTAAATCAGCCTTGTGAACAAGTGGGTCTATCCATAGTTGCAATATTCAAACTGATCACTGTGACAGACTGGATTGTCTGATTGTCAGGAGAAAATCAGAATAATTTCCCTGAGTCGCTTGCCAAGAGAGCATTAAATTTCCAAAAGCGAAGTGAAATACTGTTTTTAATCACTTGCCTATCCAATGAGAATACTAAGGATACTCTGGAAGTATTAAATGTGTATATGAGAATGTGAAGTATGTTTGTCCATTATGATTTCATGAAGAAGGGATTTTAGGGGAGCTCTTTTGAGATTAGTTCCTAAGAATTGCAGCTTTGAATGTAAGAATCTTCTGTGTTGTGGGAAGTTGAAAAAAGAAGCACATCATTTGGGGCATTGCAGTGATGTTTTTTGTAAGTACACATATATGTTCTGCTTAAATGCGTATATGAGATTAAGTGTATGCTTGCAGGGGAAGGGAGTGGAGATTTTGGTTTAGGTTAGCAGAATCAAGTGGAAAAAAGTATCGAGATATGTACTCACCAAACCCTACAAAAGACCTCTGTCACTTGCACAGAAGATCACATAAAGGTTTGAAATCATCCTCTGTTTTAGACAAGTTTATACAAGAGATGGATTAATTTTTTTAGTAATTTAATATTCAGGAATACTGAATACATGGTGTCAGCTTAAGTAAAATATATAGTTGAAATAATTGAGGATGAGAGGATTTGTGGTGAACAGTTTTGACATTTGAGTGCTGTAATTTCAGTGCATCATGAGCATTGGGTGATCTTCACAAATATGTGGGACAGGCTTAAATGTAGACAGTTTCAGGGCTGTCAGACTTGAGAATAGTTTGTGCTCTGCACAAAGTAGCAGCAGAATGAGGATGGGGAGAGATGAACTCTGAGCTATTTCATGCTCTATGCAGAATGGCAACATACACTATTACCTTTTCATCTTTTATATGGTCCTTGAGGATGAGGGGGGTATATACCATCACAGTGTTTTTGGAACGACTCCAAAGGTTTGAAGGTCTGCACTTTGCCTTTATTTAAAACCAGCTTTAAATAAAAGATATAGGTGGTAAGTGTGAGTATTAGCTGGTATTTTGTTTCTGTTTGAACTTAGTTTTATGTCTTTTTCAAGTAGAAAATCATTTTTCTAATCAGCTGTTAATAGATTGCAATTCAGTCAACCTTATGTATTAGTGAACTGATCTCTTACTTTTGATTCCTTCAAGTTAAGTAAAGCTTTGGATCCCACCATGTTGCTTTTCATGTAGAAAAATGCGTACTTGTGAAGTAAGATTATCCTCTGTTTTTGAACTAATATTTATTTAAGTGTTAAAAAGTAAAGCTGTGAGATGAAACAATTCTGAATAGGAATTCAGAATAAACATAGTTGTTCATAACACTAGATTTGTCAAGACCTTCTTGGTGGTACTTTCTTGCATTTAATTTTTGGAACAACCTTAATGATATTTATCCAAGCTAAATATATACTTATCTCTGAAGCTGAGTAAGGAAGCATCTGTGTAACTATATATATATATATATATATATATATATATACACACACATATATTGAAAACTTTCTTTTGATGCTTGTGTATAGTCTAGATCAAGCAGCTAGCAGTATTGATTAAATTTTCCATAGAACTTAAAAGTGTATACCAAAGGATGATACTTAGAATACATCTCTCCCTTATTTCAAGAAAAATGTTTAATTTTCACAATTAACTTGTAACTGTTGATAGTATTTTTAATTGTCTTTTATATCTATAGTGAAGAATCTCATCTCATCTGTGCAGTTTTTATACTATACCAGCATTCAGAAAGTGAAATGTTTGCAGTTCAAGGTAGCATCTAACTTATGTTAATTATACCATATTAATATACTTGTTATCTAATACTAAATCATAGGATATCTAGAAACCATGTCTTCTATCACCTGTGTACTTTACCAACACCAGCACAAAATAATAATCCCAATCTTAAACTACATTTCTCCTGCATATAAATATGTATCCTAATGTGAACCTAAGGCCTAATCTAATGCATATTGCTAGATGAAAACACTATAAAGGGTTATATTTAAATTGGTGGGAATTTAAGTATTCAGTGCTTTCTTGAATTCAGTGCTTTCTTGAATGGGCTTTTCATGCCTTTTGGTTTAAAACCTATGGAGTTTTCAGTTGTAAACGTGACACTTTGGTAGAAGTCAGTTGCTTGTGAAAGTTCTGCTGAGAATGGACTCAAGCTGTGCAAGTATATATACTCTCTGATCTAGTTACCAGCATATATTAGCAAAACCTTCAGGAAGTATTATAGATGGGAGAAGTGGATAGTTCTCAAATGAGATATGCCACAGTGTGCTACACTTATGCAGACCTTTTTTCATTCATCTTGCTGAACTTGAACCTTGTTTTTGCAGTCAGTCATGTTTGGTGCTGTAATAAATCAGTAACAGCACAGCAACTATAACAAAGTTAATGAAAAGGCAACCCATCAACAGATTGTATTAACTTGCATTGCTTTAAAATTGTGTACATTTATTTGGTTAAGACTGTGCAGGTCCAGGCAGTAACACAAGACATATTTCCACCTTCTAGGAGCAGAAAGTTTTTGTGCAGTCGTATGCATGTGAGTTCATCGTATTACCAACGTCAGACTCCAGTGATTGGAAGATATCTTCCTTTCTATCTCAAGGAATCAAATTCTCCTTGTTATTACTAATAGCTCTTGGAGGCACATACTTTTAAAGAAAGCCAGGGTTTCATGAAAAGCTACTGCAGTTTATAAAAAATGGTAGAATATTATTGTCCTCTTCTTCACTACTATAGTCATCAGATGCCTGAGTGGCAGTTCAGCATGATCTGCACAGGTTTACTTTTCAGTCAAGTGCTATTATTCATCTTATTGCAGTCTGGAGCACCCCATAGGTGAGGAACTGCTTGTGGTGCTTATTCAGATACCCTTTGTTCAGTTTTAATTCACTTTTTTTGCAGTGTATCTGTAGAAGAAAACTCATGTTTTTCTTTTAGTTACTGTTTACCTAAAGGGCCCAAATAGAATAAGCATTTCACTTTTCTTCAGAAGAGAATTCCTTCGGTTGTGTGTGCTTTCTATTTTTGTCTTCTAGACTTGGGAAATTTGGAAGGTATTTCCAGAGCTTAGGTCTGTGACTAGATTCTGTGCAGACACAATGTCTTAACTTACGTTTTATCCCAGAAGCATGATCATCAGTAGAGATTATAGTTTAATGCTGCTAAGGTGTCTTGAATTTGAAATATAAAACATCCAGCCATATGTATCATATATCTAAATGAAGTTAGAGGCCACTTGTGTATTTAATTTCCTATCTAGTCTGTATTCCCTCTTGAGGGAGCCATATTTTTTGCCTTGAGGAAATGTTTAAAATAAATTTAATCATGTACCTGGTAGTACTGCTTTAATCATACATAGCTTTGAGCTATTACTTAAAGCCATGAGGAAAAAAAAAATCAAGGCAAACTTGATAAGTTCTGATTCAACTCTTAGCTTATGCAGGAGCATCTTATTATAAAATTAGAGAAACACTGCTTGTAAGACTTACCTCCCTTTGGTCAGTCTTTTGTTGGAAGTTGTGCTGCTACTTAGTTTGCGTGATGAAATTTGGTAAGCAAGACACTTCAACATGTCTCAGCATTTTTTTTTAATTACTAAAGCTAATGGGGCAGTGCAAATAGAGTCCTTCCTTACAGCAACAGTTAATCGTATCTTCTGATTCTTACACGTTGTGCAATTATATGATTACAAATGGATTTTTAAATGCCAAAAAATGCCTTTTTAAGAATTATATGTTAGGTCTGAGGAGTGTTGAAAATATCTGCTTTCAAAAATGAGCCTTCGGGCCCTGTAACAAACTTGCTGTCAGTCTTCTGTGCAATATCTCCCTTCTGGGTGCTTTAAGTGTATACTGTATGTCTTATTTCGGTTTGATCAGTATGTTTTGAGAGTGTGTATATTGGCTAATGATGGATTTTTTTTCTGTACAGCATGGTGGAAGATGTTTTAAAATTTTGCACTTTTCTAGGATTTGCAAGTTTGTAACCTAACAATTTTTAACATGCACACTTTTGTACATGATCAGCATTGTATATATTTAACATGAGTCTGAAGCCAATAAAAATAATTGAATGCACAACTTCTCACTTTATTAATAGTGTAAAAATGAAACTAATGCTGTGGGAGTACACTAAATGAGCAATTCTTCTATTACACAGGTAAAACAAGGGAGCAGGAACAGCTGACTCAGTGTCTTGACTTAATTGTGTTAAGGTAACTTTTTTGATGGGGGAGGAATCAAAGTGGAGATGCATGGAAGGTACAGAACATTTCAGAGTAAGGCTATTCTTATTCTATTATTACTCAAGTATTGCAATAAAAATGTCATTTTTCTTGGGAAAGAAATGTGTCTGAGAAGTGAACAGGGTGGAGGGAAAGAGTCCAATAATGCATATTTATCTTTATTTATAAAGTTAAGGCTTGCCACCCACCCTAGGACTAGAAGCATCTCTTTCCTTCCTCCTCATGTGCCGACTTCTGCTGCAGAATATGCAAGGCTACAGCTTCTGGAGATTACTGTCAATCAGGAGGAAACTGAAATCTGTTCCAGGCTCGTGTTCAGTTGGTTTCTTACCCCTGTAAACAAGATCAACCATGCTGTAAGTTTGCACAGCAGCTAGCAGTACTGCTCTTCCATTTGTTACCAGGGATAGAACGAGGCATCCTTGTTCTTAACTAGCAGCTTTGACTCCCTTCCTTGCCTCCATCCTGGGATATACAGATTTGATTTCTTAGTAATGGTCATACAACTGAAGTCCTGAGACCCCTTTTTCTATAATACAGTATAATTAGGATCAAATTAGCATTCCCCTGGCCTTCAGTACAGACCACAGCCTGACTGCTGGGGCACTCTGGATGAATGGTAGTTATTCGATCAGAAACGTGAGCATCAACATATGTAGTGCCATAGCACTTCAGAGTGTTGTCATACTGACTGCTCTTTTGGAACACTAAGCAATACTCATGTGTTCCCTAAAGAGAAATGGAAGCAAAGGATTAAATAACTTCTGACATGAGGCTATAGGCAGTATGTGCCAGGAGTTTAACAGAAATCTCTCTTCCTTTTTGTATTTCACTCAAATTCAAATGAAGCCATTTACCTCAAAAATAGTCGTGCTCCTGTTACTCCTTGTAAGGTGGCTTTGTCTCCTTCTACTAGCAGCATTGCACCTTCCCGCAAGCCCTAACATGGAAACATTTTAACGTTATTTTCAAGTTATTTGAAAAGCTAGAACACTTGTCACAAGCAGGGCGGTTTTAAGTGTAGCTCCTCATGACTACAAACAAGATTTCCTGGCTCATTTTTTTTTAACAGAGATGCAAAGACAAAGGTAGGTGGGTTATTTTATTTTAGAAGCTTGTTTTCTTGTGTATTTAATTTTGGTTTTAAGGAAGGCTATACAAACCATTAAGGAGAAAAAGAAAAATGTTCCACAATTACTTCTGTAACCCCCCATTCTTAGATTCACTTTTGTCCAAGCAACAATAAGCTGAGTTTGTTAGAGTGCAAACTTTATACTTCAAGTTAAAAGCTGGCACATGGAACAAATGAGCAAAATCCAAGGCTGAAGCTGTTAGCAACAGTATAACTAGCCTTTCTTGCTAGAGTTCTGGAAGGCTTGTCAGGAGGAACCCACACTGAAAACTGGCAAGGATGCATTTAAAGTGCTTACCATGCTACAGCCATGACTTTCCTGACTGGAAACTACTACTTACCAAAACTGGAGGGGTATTTGGCTCTTCATGATATTGGCGAATTCTTTCCTCTCTTGTCTCCTGCAATAATGAGTGTAGATTTAGCTGCCCAGGCAGTAAAGTAGAAGTTAAAGCCATCCAAGTACTATGACACTCAGCAACTTCTTAATGATAAACAAAGCAGGCACTTCCCCTTGAGGAGAATGCTTTAATTAGACTTATGTATTGAAGAAAGTGGTAGGATTGACTTCAGTAGATACATTTTTTCCCTTTCATCATTAGCAGCCATTGTAGCTTGATCAAACAGAACTTGCATAGTCCCAACCCCTAAAAGCCCGAAAGCTTCCAGTTAATTCATCCAGCTTTTTTTTTTTTTATCTTTTCAAATATTTTCTCTATGTGCTCACTCTCAGAACAAGAGTACAGAGGAAGCAGATGCCTGAGGTGCCTTCTTCATGAAAGATGATAGTGAGCCAAGGATTTCCACTAATTAAATATCTGTTTCTTCCTTCTCAAGTAGGAATCACAATGAAGAATTTTCTTCTGTGAATGGCTCTGCCATGTTTCCTGAGGGTCGCTGCTTCTCAACTGAACAACAGCAGTTAAAAAAATCAAACCAGAAGGCTTTGTTGATAAGGAAACATAGGAACACAACAGGTACTTGTTGCAGCACAGAATTTTCATCCTCCTCTCGGAAAAATAGGAGGCAGTCTTTTTCCTGTAAATATCTCTTGCTTATCTAGAGACAAGCGAGCAGATTAAGTGACCACCTACAACTTCATCTAAATTCTAGAAGCACATCTTGATTTTCCATCTCTTCATTGTTCCCTTATTCTTAATACTTCCACTAGCCACAGAGAAATTCTGATTACAAGGGCAAAAAGTATTTGGGCTGTTAATGGATGCACTCCAGAAACAGCCTCCTGGTTAGCTCCTGACTAGCTATTTAAGAAAAAGCTCTTCCATACAGTGGAGATGTCAATCTCTGTGCCTGATGTTTAACCGTTTTTCTTTCAGCTATACTAGTACATGTGCTTACTTAGTACTGGCTGTTACAAGGTGTACTCTTTGCAGGGACACTCACACGTAGGTATTTTTTTATATTACAGGTTTGCATGCAATCTTAAGCTTTCCCTGTTCTGATAGCTCTTTCAGGTGTTTAGATGTTTAAGCCTCTTAAAGTATGCTTAAATTAGGTCTTCTAGATCAGGAAGCAAAGCAGCATATTCCAGGACTTTCCAGAAACACACTGCATTTCATCTTCACATTAAGTTTTTTTTTTTTGTTTTTTTTTTCCCCAATTCCATGCCAGGTATGAACTAACACTATTTCAGACATTGCAAAGCTGCTGTTTGTGAAAAACACTTTGTTCCACCTCAGTAGCACTGTTGCCAGCTCCTCTTCCCACTCAAAGAAAAGCTTTAGGAGGGAGTAAAATGTTATTGCCTCTTTGGTATTTCCAACTGTTTGAGGGAGCAGCTGTTAAGACATTCTATAGCTTTGTAATCCCTTGCAAATGCACACTATCATTACACCTTGGTGCCCTGCATTTGCTGTGGCATGCTTTACTTACACCCATGTGAGTGCTTTTATCATCTGGATCCAGGTAGTGAGGGTTAATGTTAAAAGGAACTAAACCTAGGGCTTGCAGGGAAGGCGGATAAACAATTGGCATGTCATTGGTAGTATTGATGCTGATGGTAGCAACATTAGTTCCTGCACTGGATCCCATGTACGGAACCCCATCCTGAAAGACAAAAGCAATGATTAGTATGAGGTAACACAATTGGGAACAACATTTTATAGCATCTTCTATCAGTCTTGGAGACTCAGCAGTCAGATCAGACTTAGTCCTTCTAGCTCATCTCACTGCTAACTTCACAAGTGAAAAGCAGAAAAAGAAGAGCTCACAGTTTGAGGTGGGCAATAGTTCCCAGGTAATAATGGTTGGCAGAGAACTAACTAGGGAATGCCCTGTACTCACAACAGTGTGATCCTCTCACAAGAGGAAAACTTGCAAGGTTGTCATTTCAGACAGACTTTGCTATTAAGAGATGCGGCTTGCCTATGTTGCAGTTACAGGAAATACCAGAAGTAGCTTTTAACTAGCTTCTAAACAGGGTATTTGGGATCACCCAAAGCTGAGCACCGTGCTGCCTCATTGTGTATTTGTGTATATTAAGATGGCCTACCTGACCTTTATTCTTGGCAGCTGGCCTCTTCAAACTTTCTGTGGCTTGCATAAATTTGTCTGAAGTAATTCACACTTCCACATTACCAGGGAAACACCTTGCTTCTGTTGTCTTCTACTGGTGACCTATCTTTACTGTGCTTTATGAGATTCACTATGCTAGAATGGGCTGCTGACTGGAAGGGCTTGATGGCATTCATATCTCTCAATTTTATGTCAAACAGACACCCAAGTTAATTACAACACTTTCTCATTTACTTGATTGTCTAAAAGGCACATGCAGATTAAATTGTACTGTTGGTTTATTATTAGATAATCTGCAGCTTGAGCATATCTATTAACAAGATGAAAAGTGAACATAACCTGAAAAACATGGGTTTTGGCCAATGATTAAATCCTTGCACTGCTCCTCATTGGTATTTTAAGTTGAGGGACTTACTTCTAAGGTATGGCATAGCATTGTACGTCCTAAAGTCTTGCAGTCCCATATCATAGAAACTGCTGTAGGACAGTTTACTGACCCTAGTCTTTTCAGGCTTTCATGACTAATGACAGCTTTATTAGGCTACAGCTTTCAGTTCACCAGCTTGCAAGAGATGGCTCAATATTTGAAGTACATTAGAAACAAAGACGTAGAATCAACTTGAATTTATCTGAACAAATGTTTATGCATGAGATCCTATCATTCAGACTTGGCCTGAGTCATCTAGTTGTTACCTCAAGAACTCTCTTCCTGATCTCCTGTATCAGACTGTTGTCATAGAGAGCTTTCAGGAGACGGAATGTGTTGCCACCTCCTGCAGAAAAAGAGTCCAGCTTATTTAATGTGCTTTACCATTGATTTTAATTGATGCCATTACAAGCTTGCCAGACTCAATGCTCTGTTCAGGACAGTATCCGGCTTTGAGCAACAAAAAACCCAGAAGCTTCAGAGGAATGCTTGTCTGGCAGGCCACGGGCTTGTGTCCCAGGTCCTTCTGACAAATGACACTGGCTCTTTGACAGCAGATACTATTCTAATACCCTTGAGTGTGGTGTTAGGACTGTGCTCAATCTGAGCACAGTAGGCCTGGATCCTCTTAGTCTTGATAAAATGACAATAAAACATCTAGAATCATGTTTTTAATGCTGAAGTACTGTTCAAGTGAAGAGTTTGAAACTTACTGAAGGAGCAGTTCCATTGATAGGTCTTCCCTACTTCTATTCCCACCACTAAATTTAGGGTCTTACTGTTCCCAAATAAAGTACTGTTTTCTGTAGCTGCTTCTAATTGTGAGGTGAGACTTTTTCATGCTTGTCTCTACAGTACCAGCTCTACCAGAGAGCAAAAAGTAAAACTTACCAATAAATATTGCTTCAGATTTCCTTACAGCTTCCACTGGATCACAGGATTCATGAATGCTGTCCAGCCCGTAACCTTAAATTAAAAGTTTTTTACCTTTGCTGCTTCAGTTTGGAGGAGGAATATACGTTCAATCCCCCCATCCTATTCTTTGCCCCCCCTTCCCCCCAAATGTCTCACAATACAACCAGGGAACCTTCAGAGACCTCTACGAGGAAAAACACTATATACCCTATGTTCATGCAGGGCTTCTGTGTGCAGCTGTACCAAAGCAAATGTTTCCTTTAAAGATATAGATGCTCAGTGTCTAAAAGAGCAGAGCATTTCAGTCAGCATGTGCTGGTTGTGGTACGAAGTCCTGCATAGCAGTACCAGCTAGTTAGAAAATGAGGAAAAAGCTATCACTGCCCAGCGCAGCTACGCGTCTGAACAGGATCTGCCATTGTTGCTCTAGCATTAGTAGTATGAATGTTGTATTGGAACATATTTTTTGTAATGGTTAAAATGTTTGGCTTTGACAGATTTGCTCTGCTGTGGTTCACTGAGTATAGTATGTGCCAGGAGCCCCAGAAGAACATGGACAGTTGATAGCAATCTTTCTGCAAGATAAGGAGCAAAGTGTGATACACCAGGAAGTGAGTATTGATTGTTACTACAGTAACAAGTCCAAAGTTACCAGGAAGGTTACAGACACAAACTAGGGCTGTTACAGTAGGCCACTCTGGCAAGATTTTTGCTCATAGCAAAGCTCAGTCACTGCTCATCCCACAAACACCTGCCTGCAGCACGATACAGTAATTGTCTTCTTCACCTAGCAGTAGGTGCACAGCTTGAGCAGAGGCTTAATGTATATGGGAAGAAATATTCCCCCGTGTCACTAAGGAGGATAAAAATACGCTGCTTTGCATCCGGGTGTACAAGCTTCCTCCCTGAAGTGGTTACAAGTGTTTGCAAGGCGCTTTCTGCCGGAGGCCTCTGAAGTACCCACTTCTAGGTGAAAGTTTGCAAGCAGCTCGCTCCCGGCTGCTCTCGCCCCCTCGCTGACCGGAGCTGAAGCAGGACTCGCCAGAGCTCCCCTGTCCCCGTCCCCGTCCCCCCGGGGACCCCCCTTACCCAGGCTCTCAAACTTCTCCCTGGCGGTGCGGGCGTAGGCGTCGCGGTCGTGCAGGGCGTAGGGCACGAAGAGCACCCGCTTCACCTTCCTGCGGGAAGAGGGCACGGGTTTGCTGGAGCCCCCCAGGGCTCTGCCCCCCCTCCTCGGGTCCCCCCCCCGGCGCTTACCCCCCGAGGAAGCTCTGGATGTGCTGCTGGCAGTGGCCCAGGTACCCCCCTCCGTGCAGGGTGGAGTTGGAGACCAGCAGCAGGCGCCTGGGACACCCCATCTCTCGCCCTGCCTCAGCCCGGCCCGGCCCGGCCCGCCCCTTCCTGCCCCGTGGTGGGGGCCGGGCCTCGCCCCTGCCCCTGCCCCGGTCCCGGCCCGGCCATGCTGGACTTCGCCATCTTCGCCGTCACCTTCCTGCTGGTCCTGGTGGGCGCCGTGCTCTACCTCTACCCGGTAATGGCGGCGGGGGCGCGGCACGGCCCCGGGGCAGGCAGCGGGCGGCCGCGGGGCCCGGCCCGGCCCGGCCCCTGCCATCGGCCCGGGACGTGGCGGCTGGGCCGGGCCGTGCCTGCACCCTGCTGGGCGTCAGCGCCCTGCGGCACCCCGCGTGTAACCAGCCCCCTTGAGCCTCTCTTGGGAAGGCTTCACTGCTCGGAGGGCTAGCTCTCTTGCAGGGAAGCCCGCCTAAAACCTCAGTTCAGAGAGGCTGACGTGTTCCCTTTGCTCTCCAGGCATCTCGGCAAGCATCGGGTATCCCCGGGCTAGCTCCGACTGACGAGAAGTAAGTGCTTCCAATTTGCACGCTCAGCCTCGGTACTGTGTGTGGCTCGTGCCCAGGTAACCTCCTTGTGTTCCTCAGGGACGGCAATCTGCCGGATATCATTGCTAGCAGAAGTCTGCACGAGTTCCTGGTGAACCTTCATGAGAAATATGGCCCAGTGGTCTCGTTCTGGTTTGGAAGGCGCCTTGTTGTCAGCATTGGCTCCATTGATCTCTTGAAACAACACATCAACCCCAACCGGATATGTAAGTGCCCTCTGCCTTGTCTTTGAGCTTATTTGTTCCTTCTGGCCTTGTTGAGCATCATATGTCAAACAAAGGAAGCTGGGGTTTCGTTCTGAGTAGAAAGAAAATGAACCCTAAGTTGCAGCAGATGTTGTTCAGACACATCCACGGTCCTGCTTACTGGACTTGAATGTCAGCGACCTAGAGTTGCTGCTGTCCAGTGGCTGTCAAAAATTCCTGTGCTTCTGCCTTTTACTTTCTGCCTAAGGGCAAATATTTGTGGAGAGAGAGCATCACGTTCATTAGTCACTTGAAGCAGCCAGGTGAAGATCCTGTAGCAACTTGAGGTACAATTTAAAAGCAACTTGAAGTATGATTGAAGATGGGGAATATTGCTAAATGAAGTCTGAAAAGAGCTCTGATATTCTGTGATAGCTTCCGTGTACGGTTCAATGTGGAGATTTTTAAAGTGTTATTTCAAGTAGTTCTTTAATTTTCATTTTACTTTGAGTTATAGAGTTTTGAGTCAAACACTAATGGTCTTCTAGCCTTGGAAGTGGTTAGTGGAACTGGTTGTTGAGTTGACCTGCTTAGTCCTGGGAGAGTGTTTTAATTTCTAGCATAAGCCTCTCAGAGGTTTTGCTTCCGAAGGTGATCACAGACAGGAAGTTGACTAGGCTGATGTTTGGGTTTAACCTGCTGTTTTTGCAGTTTTCATCCTCTAGGGTAGATTGAGGTGCTGGTTGCACACCTCTGACCTGATAGTGTAGGTTATTTTCAGGCACAGGCAGATATCTCAGCATCACTGTACGCTGGGGTCATGACGGGTAAGCTTCTTGTACGTTTGCATGTCAGACTCAAAAAAACGCTGATGATCTGGGAAAGGCGTAGGAGTTAACAAAGATCAGCAAGACATAGCGGATAGCAGTGGCACACCAGAAGGTGGAAACACACCCTGAAAAATCTGAATGCACTCAAGTGTGCTTGGGGAATATTGAGCAGACACTTTCTCAAAGTTCAGAGAAGTGGTGACAGGCCCTTAAGCAGACAAGTTTTCAGAAATGTACTGAATTTGGGAGAGTGTCCAGATACTGGAGGAAAACAAATACAGTACCTGGGCTTAGATGCAGGAAGTTAAGTGACCAGGGCAGCTACAGACTAGTCTGACCTCATACAGATGCTGAGGGCTAAAAATACTTTTTCAGGAAGGGATAAGTGGGAAATGCAATAAAGTGTGGTCATACCATACTTCTTTGATAATCAGATTTCCAGAAAAGGAAAGTGATAGAACGGTGTTGCTAGGCTATCAAACCATTAAAAGTCTGATATGCTTCACTAAAAGGTGAAAACATAATCCTAGCGCTGTTTTTAAGACCAGGACAAAGCACAAATGAAGTCTGTGGAAGTGCTTGGTAGGACAGTATTCTGTTTCTGAGAGATGGTTTGTGGAGGATGGCCTTGTGGAGTCATTAGTCTCCTGTAGTTGTGGAAAAACAGGTGTTACCCAAACACTACAAGATGAGGGCAACCATCTGCAAAGGGCAGCCTAGTCTCTGAAGTCCCAAACTCACAACAGTGAGTGTAGCAGTGGCATAGGACTGATGGTTTGTGCTGGGAATGGGGAAGGAAAAAAAATTGAGCCCATCAGTCACCAGCAGTTTTCTTTCACACACACCAGGAGAACTATGCAATTTCTGCAGATGATGGTGCTAAGCATCCTCTGGCCTCTCCAAATGCCTCTGTATGCCAGATTGCTTTGTTAGCTTTCCCATCAGTAGGGGATGGTGGCATGAATAGCAGCAGCCACTTCATGGCAAAGTACCATGGAGGAGGAATTGTCAGCAGCAGCTAGAGTCACACAACAGCCTGTTCCACGTGCAGAGCCACAGGTACCATCTGCTGTGCCACAAGGCATATGCGTACACTTCTTGTCATTTGAAGTAGGAAACAGGGCAAGCTGTAAAGCTTTAAAACATTGGAAGGGAAATGGCATGAGAAAAAAAGCATTTAGGAAAGTTTACTGTGTTCTTGCCTCTGGCCTCATTAGCTGCCTTTGTGTTATTAGCTGGTAAGTCCTCTGAAAGTAGGAATTGTCTCTTGTTGGATGTTTGTCCGGTAGCATAATGAGGCCCTGATCTCTGCTGGGAATGTTAGACTCATCCACAGTAGGTTGAGTCATAGGTGTCTAGCCTAGCCTTGATGTTTTCTGATGCCTCAGAGGCTTCTTTCTCCATGTGGGAGAAATAACAGACTGTGATAAATAGTGAAAGCCTCTTTTGAAACTTTCCCGATTACTACTTCCAAACAGTTCCTTAAAGATTCTGCCAGTTCGTGAGACCAACAGAAAATTGTACAGAAACAGAAAAGCATGTAGTAGACCATGCCTTATTGCATGTTTTTGCATTGACTACTAGTGTACTTCAGCAGGTTAATTAAGTAGAGGCCCCTGGTGATGAAACTCAAAGTTAAAGGTGTAACTGAAGCAAGCTGTGGTTATAGGAGATGGAGGATTTGTGTTTTTGCCTTATTTATACACTGCTGCAAGAGTCTGTGCAAGGAAGATGGAAAGCGGTTGGAAGTAGAAAGCATTCTGTAGCTTAATGGGGCACTGCTTTCTGTGAGAGACCTGCAGCTTCTCCGCTGGAGGCAGATCTGGCTGGCTAAACTCTTGTGAGCTGATAGGGCTTGTGTGCTTAGATGTAGTCGGAGCAGGAGGGTACCCCAGTTGTGAAGAGGCAATCTGCTGGGGGGCTGCAGATCAGGCAAGAGAGATGGAGGAGAAGGGGAAGGAGTGTACCTACCACTCTTGCTGTTGTGACCAGGTGGTTGTCACACTGGAATGGTGTTTCCTTTACTTGCTTTCAGCGAATCCCTTCGAGGCAATATTGAAGTCCTTCCTGAGGTACCAGCCCAGCCTGAATGGGGATACAGGAGAGAGCCACCTGAGGAGAAAGCTGTATGAAAATGGTGTGACCAAGTCCCTTCAAAGTAACTTAGCTCTCATCCAGAAGGTAACTTGCTTTTCTGCAGCAGAGAAGCCCTGTGTGGCTCGCAGGGGAAAGTTGAATGAGAATGATTACTAGGATAAAGGAGCTGCATTCAAATTTGTGCTGGAACTACAAGCATCTGAGGTGGAGAACAGCCTCTGCCTGTTTGAGCACAGTGTGAAAATTTGGTTTCTGTTAGCTCCAGTGGGTTTGGGGGAAAGGGTTGGCCTTGTGTCATTTTATGCCAAGGTATCAGATGCAGTTAAAGGTAGCATCTGATTTCTAGATTTATTTTACAGGATAGGAGGGAGGAGCAAGGAACCAGCTGTTGGAACCACGAACAGGTGGAGAACTGTTGTGTTACCTCAGTCCAGCAGCCAGAATAAGGTCCATCTTCCCAATAGTGAGCTACTAGTATTAGAAGGTTTAATGTGTTTTCTGCAACAAAGGGAACAAGAGAGATGGACAGAGCTGGCTTACTTGGGGAAAACCATGGGGTCAGGCAGGATATATGAGACTTAAATGTTGCTGGTTTAAGATAACAATGAAAGGAAACCCTGAAAAGAGAATAGATGAGTGCCATGGCCTTGAAAGCATGTTCTGCCTTAGCAACTTAGGGTGGGAATGCCTCCAGTTCGGGATATGTTTTGTAAATAGGCTGCTGCTATTACTGCCAACTAATGGTTCCTTTCCTCTTTAAGTTGTCAGAAGAGTTGCTAGCCAAATGGCTCTCCCTGCCTGAGGCACAACATGTGCCGCTCTGCCAGCACATGCTGGGCTTTGCCATGAAGTCAGTTACGCAGACAGCTATGGGCAGCAGCTTTGAAGATGACCGGGAAGTCATCCGATTCCGCAGACACCATGATGCAGTAAGTGTCATGAAGAGCCAGGAAATTTCCTGTGCCATTTTTCCAAGCCAACAGCAAACAGTTTGCATCTGTGTGCAGTGTAGTAAGGGATAGCACAAGCTACTGCTGAGACATTAACATTAAACTAACATTAAGGTTAAGAGCTCTTACTCAGTTGTGCCAAACCAAAACAATCAGAAAGATCCTACTGCTAATCCTGCTGTTATTAGTCTAAGGCCAGATATTTCTAAAGGATGTGTGAGAATCAGGAACCCAGATCCAATGGCAGTTGGGAGGTGTTTGGTACCTATGTCGGTTAAGCTCTCCAGGGAAAGCCAGTGGAACTTCGCATTTTCAGAGATCTTTTGAAGGCTCTTTGGCATTGTGAAGAAAATTAAAACTGTGGAGATGTCAAGCTATGTCCACATCTGGGGACGTTAAATCTGTTGGTGATAGAATGGGAAAGAAGCTATT